CCTTATACTTACTTTAAGAGAACATTTGGAAGAGAAATGCAAATCAAACCACAGTAAGTACCACTTCACATCCACTAGGATATCTATAATCACAAAATCAAAAATCACAAATGTCAGTGAGGAAGTTAAGAAATTAGGACCCTCATGCTTTGCTTGTAAATGTAGAATTGTGCAGTCATTATGGAGACTACTGGCAGTTCCTCAGAGGTTAAACATCGAGTTACTGTAAGAGCCAACAGTTTCACTCAGGTATATACTCAAAGGAAATTAAAATGGATAGATGTTCACACAAAAGGCTGTACATGAATGTTCATTAAGAGCATTATTCAGGGCCTCCCCGGTGGCGCAGCGGTTGAGCGCTGGGTTGTGAAGCTGCCCGCAGCCTCTGCAGCGCCGGTTCGATCCCCGGCTGCTCCCCGGCCACTGGAGGAGGGTCCCACATGGCGCGCAGACCTCTCCTGCCGCCCGCTGCTCCCCTCAGCAGTGTACTTAGGTCCTTCTGCCTGCTCTGCTCCCTGCTCTGGCTCTGGTGAATTCTCTCACCCTCCCGCGCTTCTGACTGTACCCAGTGCTTGTATAAATAAATAAATAAATCTTAAAAAAAAAAAAAAGAATCTTAAAAAAAATATATATTTAAAAAAAAAAAAGAGCATTATTCACAGGGAAAGGAAACTCTATGGGGACTACACCTGAGGGGGTGGGGGGAAGCAAATATTGTTTAAAAATGAACAATGATGTAAAAAAATTTAAAAATTAAAAATAAATTTAAATAAATTTAAAAAGCATTATTCACAATAACCAAAAAGTGAAAATAACCCAATGTCTATCAACTGATGAGTGGATAAATAAAATATGGTATATCTATATAATGGAATATTATTCAGAAATAAAAAAGAATGAAGCACTGATACCTGTTCCAACATGGATAAACTTGAAAATATTATATTAAATGAAAGATATCAGTCACAAGAGGCCACATATTGTAGGATTCCATTTAGATGAAATATCCTGAATAAAGAAATCTATAGAAATAAAAAGTGATTGCCAGGGACTGAAGGGTATATTGGATGAAAAGGATATGACTAAGAGTGTGGAGTTTCTGTTTGAGATAATGAAAATATTCCAAAATTGTTTGTGGCAATATTTATATGTCTATATGACTATATGAGTATAGTATTGAATTCTTCACTAAAAAAAAAAATAGAAAAAGTAGACATCAAGCCACATGCAAATTCTTATGTTAAATTACATTCATCATTCTTAAAGAAAACTAAATTCTAAAATATTGTAATCAAAAATGAAACTAAGTGTGTGGCAAGGGGATCTAGCCTTTATGTGTTTGCAGATATATCCTACAAAATGCCTTTGCTCACGTTTATGAATTTTGAAACCTAGCCACAAAATTTTATTTTCTTTTGTGCATATTTTTTCTCCATGTCTAGTCCCAGATAATTTGAGATCATAACCACTATGTCAAGAAAATTCAGATGCCTCCCTACTCCCCTGACTCAAAACATATTATCTTGTATTTTCAAGAGGATGAAAGAAATTTTGAAACCTCCACACTAAGGGTTAGTTATCTCCATAGTAGAAACTCCACAATAGAAGATAGTTCCAGTCTTCTATTTCATACTGATTGTTCTAAGATTGCCAGGTGATCTTAGAATAATTAAATTTAGATGCTAGTTTCAGTTCTGTCCCTAGAAATATCTCCATGACAACAAAAAGGAACTCCCAATTTCTTGCAAACATTGCTACAGGGTTATTTTGAGAGTTAAAGTGGTTATTCAATTATTTAAAATTCCAGCAATAAGAGATAATGAAGAATTAACAATAGAAAAGCATTCTTGGCATTTTATAGCAGTAGGTATCCCTGCAGAGAAAGGGGTAATGATCAACTACAAGGTGTTTGCCTTCATCCTATGACCTCTGCTCAAAATTCCAAAGGCCATCTCGCTTTTTCACATAGCCTTCCTGTATTCTCTGGTGTGTCCCATTTTTACACCAAGCCACTCTCATCTTAGTTCATAATCAAAAGTAGAACTTGCTAGCTGTGCTGGTAACATTTGTTCTGTGCCATCAAAAACCATTTAGTTGTGGAGCTTTTCTCCTTAGGCATACTTAGCTTGTGCAGCTGAGATTACAGAAACAGGGAATACTTGGCAAGGCAAATAAATTGTGAAATTTGTCTAAATGGTTTGACTCATGAGTGGCTCTTGGAAGCTCAGAGTTGAAGCTTTTTATTGGTATTTACTCTGGTCCTCCAAGAGTGTAGCAGTTGAGTGTTTAAGGAGAGGTCAAGCACAAGAACTCTGGCATTAGATAAAACACTTTGGAAACCTGACTGGTACTTTCTGGCTAAAATTCTTTGTCCTATTTTCTTTATGGAAAATAATAGTACCCACTTTGATGGAATATTATATGGAGTAAATAAATGAAATAATCATTTAAATCACTTAAGCACAATATCTGACTTGCTTACCTGTTGTGAAAGTACCATTTATAAGTTGTTTTCCAGACAAAAAGTCTTAACAAGGGATGCACCAAATCAATTTATCCAAGTTCCAGAGGTGCAAAGAGCTTCTTTATGAAAAGACAATGAACAGTTAGTCCTTCCTGGGAAATGAATATTTGGCTTCAGATATTTGATAAAGTCAAAGATGACAACCTAGTAATTAAGAAGGGATTGCTTATTATAGATAGGGGAAATGATATGAAAGAGAACACGAAGATAGAGGAAAGTGTACTAGGAGGTGATAGTTATGTAGTGGGTCTGGAAGCTACTAAAAAATGCAGATATCTACAGGCATATTCATAGGGAGAAATAATCTTCAATGACAAGGAAAGCACAAAATGAGGTAGAAAGCAACATCAAAGTTTTGAGAGGCTTTTGTTTTAGTTTTGAATTGTGTCAGGGAAATAGGGGAAAAAATGGAGGTGGGGGCGGGGGTAGGAGATGAGAGAACAAAAAGTGGTGACCACCAGAAGTAAGTTAAGATTGAAATACTGGAGGTCTCCCTGGTGGCGCAAGGGGTTAAAACGCAACCTATGAAGCTATCCGCAGACACTGCAGCACAAGTTTGATCCCCAGCTGGGGAGCTACCCACATGGTGCAGCAGACCTCTACTGCCTCGCCCACTGCTCCCCTCAGCAGTGTATTTCAGTCAGTCTGCCTGTTCTGTTCCCCACTCTGTCTCTGGTGCAGCCTCTCACCCCTCCCCCCACACCTCTGGCCTGTACCATAGTGCTTGTATGCATAAATTAATAAATCTTAAAAAAAATTGAAATACTGGACAACTGAAATCCAAATAACTTCAGGTAGAGATTTTAGAAGTCTAAGTCCCAATATTCTTCTTGTAACCATCTCCCAGAGAGAGAGGTAGGATTTGTAATTGAACTTCTTTTTACTTTGCCTCCAAAAGTCACAAATACTGACTTCTCCTAAATTTAGGAATAACAACAGTTTCCATCCTTTCTCATTCTGACCAAATGACCTTTGATCTTTCATTAGTCTTCTGTGCAAATATAGTCACCCTGCTTAATGGAGATGCTTTTGAAAGTGTTCAGTTTGCAGTAGAACAAATATTAGGACAGAAATGTCATGGTGTTTAACTTTTATGGCACTATGTGAGCTTAGTTAGTTTTCCTATCAACAGTTACTCTCTGGGAGCAAATTAGGCACTTTAAGAATCTTCCCAAATTGTTTCTGTCAACTCGACACCTTTATTCTGCTGAAGAAAACATTTGCTACTGATTATTCCCTAGAATATTTATATGTTGTATATAAATTTTTTAGGGTACCAAGCAATTAATTACATCTGTAATTTTCATTCCCATTTCACAGATGAAAAAATTACAGTGAAGGGAATAGTTATTTAATTCTAATTTCACAGGCACCTTTGTTCATCCTATGATTTCATACCTATGGCAAATAAATGCACTCTCAAAACAAATGTGTGTGAGTCTTTGGGATGTTATACAGTTTCACAAAATCAATTTCAAACCCAGAGCTGTGTTCAGCCTCCTGTACCCTTATGTATATGGGATTTTATGACCTATTTAAGAAACAAAGTCTCTCTGAGTACCCCTGAACTCACTTAAAATCTTATTATTCATCTCAAATAGTCATCCTGATTATTTCCCTGGACTTCTTTATTTCTGGGTCCTAGCAACCCATGGGCAGATGAAAAATATATACCTGGGAAACATGCCAATTAGAAATACTGAAAACAAGAATGACAGCAGTCATCAAATCTCATCCCCCAGGCACTGTTAAAACTATCAGCCCTTATTATACAGACGGGCCAATAAGAAGAATTCCAGTTACAGTCCAAGTGATAATATACAGTAGAACAGTGGTTTATAAAAATTATAACATTTCGGAATAGCTGAGGGCCTATATTAACCTCAAAAGAGCTATAAATATGACTTAAAAGTAGCAAGACTAAAACTGGATCCAGGTCTCCAGTGTTCCTCATCTGCTGTCCTTTCCATTACACCATGGGAAGCTGCCAGGTGGGGGGTGTCATGAGAAGAGATTAAAAAATAATCCAGACAAAGGGCTCTGGAGATGGTTTACGAGTGAACTGGTGGTGGGACACTGATGTAAAAGATATAAATTTTTTTTTAATTTTATAAAAAATAAATAAATACAAAAAAACCCAGAATCCTTGCAGCATATGTGACGTCTTCTATTCTGGAAGCATTTTGGCTCCTCCAGTTCCCAAAACAATTGTGAGGATTTGTCTGAATGTGCTGACTGATTGACTGGAAGTTCTTCTCTAGAAACCATCAAAAGATCAGATGAAAGACTGTCTATATGAATTGTCTGCAAGGAAGATTAGATGACATCAGATTAACTTACAGTGAGATAAACTGTTGTATCTTTATTTCAAACACCCACAAGCTCTCATAATCTGTTATTACTATTATTGTCCTCATTTCCATTTATATTTAAATTGAGCTTGTTAGAATAAGGCTGTTTCTGTTTTGTTTCTCAGGTTGTAGTTTCTCGATCAAGATCAACCCCCCATGTGAATTTTCACCTGGATTCCCACCCTGTGTCTCCAGAAGTGATTGTGGAACATCCGCTAAACCAAAATGGCTACACACTGGTTGTCACTGGGAAAAAGGTAAGCCCAAACCCATGGAGACAATTCTTCCTGAAGGAATATTTACACTGTCTTCCTTTTAACTTCTTTCTTCATCTTGGATTCATTTCTCCATATGGTTCCTTCTTGAATATTCCAGAGATCTCCTGAAACCAAGCTAAATTTTTATGGAGGGATAATTGGACCTAAGGGAGACCTTCTTCATAATGCAGAATTCTCATTTTGTCCTGTATTTCTCAACGAGAAAAGCAAACACGCACAATGAGAATTACAGATCTAATGGCAGAACTCTAGTGCAGACAAGATAAATCCTGAAATGTACATTAGAATCTGACACCAACCAGTAATCCTTTTCCTCTGTAAGAAGGAGGTGCATCTTGATGCCAGATGATATGTAAACTTACTTAGAATTTCCCAGGGGTTCAAATCTGTTTTCCTACAGCTTAAATTATACTCTTATTATTTTAAAATTATCACAGACTGAACAAACTGTCCCTCCCAAAATGAACTACATGATAATGATAATGCTTGTGTTCACTGGACTATAATGTGAACTTTTACCACCTATATGGCAACAATGGGGGGTAGGAAACAATTTGGTCTTTATTGTAATCACTTAATCATTATTGCATGATTTGCACACATAGGTGCTACCTCTAGTAACCTCTGTAAAATGATATTTACATGTATCTGGTGTATTTAGTTTTTATATAACAAACAAATACAAAACCCCTTGGAAGTTCTTTCCATCACTTCTTTTCACAGATCACCAGGATCCCACTGAATGGCTTGGGCTGTGAACATTTCCAGTCCTGCAGTCAGTGTCTCTCCGCCCCACCCTTTGTTCAGTGTGGCTGGTGCCACAATAAATGTGTACAGTTGGAGGAATGCCCCAGCGGAACATGGACTCAGGAGACCTGTCTGCCTATAATCTATAAGGTAGGCATCTCAGTCATCTGTTGCAGATACTTTTTTGTAAACATAAATCCCATTAATCAAAAAAATCAGAAAATTGATTTATTCATTTCATATTCAGCTGAAAGGCATCAACCGAAGCATCTTCTCCCTCTAGGGCTTTTCTTTAGGGTGGTGTTTGGGCACATCCCCTTGAGTCCTACACCCAAGGTGCTTGCTTCCTGCTCATTAAATATATTCTCCTCTGAGGCTATAGCTTTCCTTTAGTGTAACATGAGTGAAAGAGTGGTTAGTGGGCAACATAGCTCCAAATTTCCTTTGCTGGAACCCATCCCTGCCTGACTCACCCATTCTCTGATTCATTACTTTCCACTTTATCTACCAGACAGAAGCCTCTGCCACACAGTTCTTATTATACAGGCAGGACAGATTTCTTCCTATCTCACACTTGGATTGTGGCTTTGTTTCACCATAACTTTAAGCAGAAGCTGCTTCCCTCAGTGATATGGCAGGCAAGTGCCCATGGGTGACTGTGCTCCTTTTTTTTTTTATTATTTTCAAAGATTTATTTATTTATGCAAACAGGAACTGGGGTACAGGCCAGAGGTGGGGTGGACAGGTGAGAGGATTCACCAGAGACAGACTGGGGAGCAGAACAGGCAGATTGACTGAAATATACTGCTGAAATACACTGCGAGACAAGAGCATCTGCTGTGCCACGTGGATTAGCTCCCTGGCCGGGGGATCGAACTTGTGCTGCAGTGGCTGCCCATAGATTCATAGTGCTGAGACAACCCCTTGAGCCACCAGCGATGCCCTGTGCTCCTTCTTTTAAAGTTCCTAGAAGAGAAATAAAGCTACTACCGATGACTACACTAATATCTGTACTCTGTGAACCCTTTTCATTCATTAATTCATTCCAAAAATGTTCGTGGAGAGCATACCATACAGCAGGCACTCTCCTAGATTCTAGGGAGATACAGTCCTGAACAAGACAGAAGTGCCCTCTGTCTTCTAGTGGTAGCTTCTAGTGGTAGACTTCCGCCATGACATTGTAACCACATTCTGCAACTCTCTGTTGCCTTGTTTGCTGAAGCACACATCTGACACTATGAAAATCTTCTTGGCAGAGTTTTTAAATGTCTTGATCCTAATACATTTTGCTTGAAAAAACTTCCCTGATGAGGATCCAATATGTATTTTCCTCTGCCTGCATGTAAAACAGTTGGACTTTAGTAAATGGCACTTGTGAAAGATTCCAGTGAAAGGTCTCGGTAGCCAGGTTCAAGCCCAAGTAAACAAAGTGTTCAAGTCAGAACAGGAACCGACTCCAAGCACAGGGCTGTTTTCATTTAGTTACGCTTTGGGGCAAGATTTGTATTGGGTGACTGGATTTTAAACCAAATCATTTTCTGTTAGGTGTGACATTATTATTAAGACTTAATGTTTACAGCCAGAGAACAAACTAAAAGAGAGCAAGAAAACAAATTTAAATCTAGCCTATACTATGCATGCACTCTTTTGGTTTCATATGCTTTTAATACCACATGCAGTTTTATACTTTTTAAACACTGTCTTAGCAATTGGAGGCACTAGAAATATTAACTCAGCTATTCCATGAAAGAGATATGGGGTGTGGGTGTGTGTGTGTGTGTGTGTGTGTACAATTAAATCACAACAATCTCATGTCAAAAACAGCCAAGCTACTGTTTTAAATAAAGAAAGAAGATTGAGAACTTGTACGAATAAAATACTAAATTTTGACCAGTGTTCTTTTCTTTTAAGTCATGAAAGCTATATTAAAATGTTTATGACATAGTAAATATTTTAGAATTTTCTGGACCCAGAAGCTCCCTCATAATGTTTGCATCTCCCTCCTCTATCACCTTGCCTGACTCCCAATACTACAGTTGGCCATTTTAAAATGTTGTGTTGCATCATGCCTGAGTTAGTGAGGCTCGGCCTGTATGGTTAGAAGGAAAATAGTACAGCTGAGTCCATAAATCCCTTTCGGTTCATAGTTGTTAGGACGATTTCATGCTGCACTAGACCGTGACATTTAGCATTCTTAGCGCAAAAAAAAAAGATAGATTCTTCATCTTTTCCTTATCTGTCTTAAACTCTAATGGCACAAAACCCAGATAATTTATAGAGTTTCACGTTCCAATAAATATAAGTTAACCTGCTTTTCAAAGAACATGATGTTCAATAACTGAAATTCTTTGCAGTTGCACATATAAAAGACTTAGTGTTGTTTCAAACATATTGTCTGATCCCCCACTTAAAGAGCAATAAGAAATGCTTGAAAAGGAAGAGCACTTTCCAATGTATTCTGAATTTATTTGCATAAAATTGTCATATCTTATAGGATTGAATTCAATCCCAGTGAAACAATAAAATGGTTTATTAATTGATCGCAAGACAGACAAGAAGCAACAGCAAGGAGAGTTTGCGCAACCCATTACTGCCACCAATATATTTGTGACTTATTCCCTCTTCAGGCAAATTTTTATTCTTCAGCAATTGTATATACTCCTCACCTGCTTTCCTCTATTGTTCACATTGCTAAAATACATCACAAATTTTAATTTTCCAAGGTTTTTTGTTGGTATTGTTGTTTAGCTTTCTATCTTTATCATTTTGGAAAATGAGCATTTAAGTCATTTTCACCTGCAAAACGATGCTAGCTGCTTTGGGACTGTTTCTCCCTCATCCAGCAGGTGGGAGACCCAGCCTCCATGGCTTTGTGCCGAACACTCATTTCCTTCCCACAGGGTTTTTCTGCCCTTCAGGATAACTCAGAGTCTGCCAGCCCATTGTTGGTTCTATCCCAGGGTGTGTAGTCCAAGACTGCTTCCTTCCTTTTCCCCTGGAAGAGTAAATGTTACCCCATAAGCTAAGGAAAAATGCTCAGCTGCCCCCCCACCCCTTGTAGTTCAGCCCAGAGAAAAAACTTAGTGAAGCTGATTTTTCAAATCCTGACAGTCCAGCAGAGGTTTTATAATAGCACTTCTACTCTCACTGCACTAGTTGAACAACACTTGGCATGTTTACTCCAGTCCTCCACAGTCCATTTGCCTTCTATAGAGTGATGTTGTATGTAGAATGACAGACTTCAGTCTTCATGTAGAAAATAGGCAGGTAGCTAAGAGGATCTCAGCAACAGGATCAGACTTTCATCAGCCTTGGTCAGCTATTTTCAATGGGGAAACCTCCTCATTAAAAGGAACCAGCAACTGTGTCACTGTCTCAGTCTTCAGAGTCCTGCAGAGCTGGATGTCTTGTTCTCTCCTACTAGATTTTTAACATAATAATAAACAGGTTTTTTTTTTTTCCTAGCAGTTTCCATTTGACTAGACTTGCATGAGGTAAATTTTCATGACAGGCATAACTGTGTAATGGATTTTATGGGTAAAATAACTGTCATAAAAACCTTAAGCTAAGACTTTAAAGGAGGATGGTAACAAGGGTAAGTGAAGGTATTAGTTTGCGATTATTTACTTGGATGGGGTGGGAATGTTTACAAATCTGAATTTTGCTAAAAGCCCTTCTAAACTCCTTTTAGACTTTCACTAACTGGCATTGGGCAAACACCTTTACTAGTTTTTGAGTTGCCTCTATAGTGCAGTGATTTCCCGCCATTGTACTTTACAGCACAATTTACAATATGTCCCCCCCAAAAGAGCATTTCCTTTCCCAGTTGTCACAGAGCCACTAAGGAGCAGCTTATTTTTAACCTGGAAATTTGTTTTAATAGTTTCAGCCAAAGAACAGTTGTCTTACAAACTTCATAAGGGTCTAATGCCATCTTACATCACATTTGCCAAAGTTTTATTAATAAATTCAGATTTTATTTTTAAGACATCAAAAATGAGCCTCCCTCCAACAATGAAATGAAATTATTATTTATTTAACATTGAACATAGGAGGGGGAAAATCAACCCTGGAAATGAGATATAAATAATGCCAAGGGAGATAATTATAAACATTGTTACAATACAGATCACATTTGGGGCTCTTTCCGGTTATGTTTTCATCTACTTATATAATGGAATAATATATTGGATGTATTAAACATTATGTCATTTTTAAAAAGCCAAGTGTGCCAACTAACCAGCTGGCAGATACCAAATAATACCCATAATTAAAGAAAAATCACATATCAGTAATGTGAATTAAATAAAAATAAAGAATTAGACCCACTTATTCATTTATTGGTGCCTACCACATAGTTGATGACTTGCAAATAAACAGAATGAATGAATATGTGGCATCTATGTATTTGGCATTATGATAGCTACTGAATGTAACTGTGAAAACACTGGATGCAAAAAGAGGTATTTTTACTATGTAACTTTCTTCCCTGGATGGGGAATACCATAGCAACTAGAATGTAGCACACACCCAGCTGGTGCTCAAAGCAAGGCAGATCTTGGCACTTGGTTTATAGGCCCATGCAGGATTTTTGATAAGTTTGATCTGGAGCCCATGAGTGAGTTATAATCAGAGTTGTAAGCATGTAAAAGTTTGGGCCCAGAGTTTGTCTAGTGTAGCCCAGAAGATTCCTAGAAAAGAAATTTGCTTCAGAGTGGCCCACCCAGACTGAATCTGGACTGTCCCATCTCTGGATCTCCTGAAAACCACTTGTTTCATCAGAATGCTTGTTCCATATTCTCTGAAAGTTGTTACCCTTTTTCTGTCCATTTTTCTTTAGTAAAAGAATTGAAGAATTTCAGCCTCTGTAGGGACACATATTTTGTTTGTTTTCCACATCTATGAAAGATTATTGTACTCTGGGGTTGTTTTTAAAGTTCAATGTTATCCTTGTAGGTTTTCCCAACTAGTGCACCTCTTGAAGGAGGAACAACATTGACCATATGTGGCTGGGACTTTGGACTCAGGAAGAATAATAAATTTGATTTAAAGAAAACCAGGATTCTCCTTGGAAATGAGAGCTGCACCTTGACCCTAAGTGAGAGCACTGCAAATACGTAAGAATCTCAAAATGCTTTGCTGGTTTTTGTTGAAAAACGGGTTTTGTTTTTTAATGAATACTTGTAAAAATTACCCCAAAAGTCTTGGATTAAAAAGAGTTTGGCTTATCACATCTCTTGTGGATTTGTTTTCCTTTCAGTCCCATTTACCTACCAAGATTAAGAAGCCAGAAAGGGGCCTCCCTGATGGCGCAAGGGGTTAAGCACCACAAAATGAAGCAATCCGCAGCCTCTGCACCATGAGTTCAATCCCCGGCCGGCAACCCACATGGCAAGGCAAACCCCCCCCCCCCCCCCCCCCCCCCCCCCGTCTCACCTGCTGCTCCCCTCAGCAGTATGTTTCAGTCAGTTTGCCTGTTCCGTTCCCCACTCTGTCTCTGGTGAATCCTCTCACCCCCTGCATCACTGGCCTGTACCCCATTTCTTGTATGCATAAATAAATAAATCTTTAAAAAAAAAAAAAGAAGCCAGAAAGGTGACATTAGCAAACCAGAAAGATAATACAGTATCTGGGAGTTCTCATCCACTTTTCTAACAACTCTTTGAAAATTGGGTAAATTTGAAGGAGCAACACTGATTTGGGTCACTTCATTTTTATTTATTTATTTTTAAGATTTATTTATTTATTTGTTTGTTTGTTTATTTATTTATTTATTTATACAAGCACTGGGTACAGTCAGAAGCGCGGGAGGGTGAGAGAATTCACCAGAGCCAGAGCAAGGAGCAGAACTGGCAGAAGGACTGAAGTACACTGCTGAGGGGAGCAGCGGGCGGCAGGAGAGGTCTTCATGCCATGTGGGACCCTCTGGTGGCCTGGGATCGAGCCAGTGCTGCAGAGGCTGCAGGCAGCTTCACAGCCCAGCGCTCAACCACTGCGCCACCAGGGAGGCCCAATTTTTAAAGTCTTCAATTACAGAGAGTTTCCAAAGATGTTTTCCTATAAAAAAAAAAAAAACAGGAAACAATTCAATATAGTCCCTCTCCTGTAAATTTACCTTCTAAGGCTCATAAAAGTAGTGAAAAGGTTGAATCACATTTTTGAGACTCATTTTTTGGGATGACTTTAAATTCATAGTAAGCTAACACCTGTTGGCACTGTAACAAGCAGTATTCACATTTGGCCATTCCCAAATCCTAGCAGGTAGCAATACCATTCTTACTTTACAAACATGGCACTTGAAGTTCTATCTATTAAGGAGCATAGCTTAGCAGAGGTAATCTAGAGAGTAACAGCTGAATAGACCGTCAAATTCAGCTCTCATGATTCAAGATCTGTGCCTGTTATAATATATGACAGATGTACCTACTATAAGACTTGAACCCTACAATGAACAAAATCCATTAGATACAATTATTGATGTAATTTAGATAGCTAAATTATTGGTTATCATTCAACACACAAACATTTAAGCTATATGATTGAATGTATTCTATCAGGGAAAGAATTACTTGCGATGTGACACAAAGGTCTTAAATCTATTCACTTTACTAAGACCAAGACATCAATTATTGTCATACTTGTTTAGCTTAATGACAAACAACTTCATTCTAGAACTCTCCCATGTAAGTTGTTTCAGTGCATCATAAACTAGAACCTGTAAAACACAATTCATTCTCTTCTTTTAAAAGTTCTTTAGTAAAGAAAACTATACTTTTTTAGGATTATAATAAGATTACTAACAAAAAATAATTCTATGAAAAGCTTATCACAATTTTATTTATTTTTTAGGTAATTTAAATAAACACATGGCAAGTGTAACCCCAGCAATGTACCTGGTGGCATACATTAATAAAGAAATTTGGCCAATTTGTCATTTTGTCCATTGTTTGAGATACCGCTAAAATACCATTTCTTTATTTTATGTGCCAAACATTATATGTACAATTTTATAGGATTGTAATTTGATTATTCTGAACTTTTTAATTGGTGGGGTCTACATTGATAAGGCATTGATAAGTAAATGAAGTTTCCTTTTTGTCTGTATAAGCACTGTAATACAGTCAATGTAAAGGTAAGCATTATAGTACTGTGATAGAACTATTTACTTTTCAGTCGTAATGCTTATCACAAAGCACTGTTTACTTTTCTAAAAAAAGATTCATTTATTTATGCATACAAGGACTGGGGTGCAGGCCAGAGATGTGGAGGGTAAGAAGATTCACCAGAGATGGAGCGGGAACAGAACAAGCAGATAGACAGAAGTACACTGCTGAGGGGAGCAGCGGGCGAGACAGGAGAGGTCTGCTGTGCCATGTGGGTAGCTCCCTGGTCGGGGATCATACTTGTGCTGCAGTGTCTGCGGATAGTTTCAGAGGTTGCGTCTTAACCCCTTGCACCACCAGGGAGACCCAGCACTGTTTACTTTTCAGAGTAGTCAGCTCACTATTTAAAGTTAAGATCCCTTCACATAAAAAGCCAAAGCAGAAAATGCTTTTATGTTTGTAACATGCTGAACTTTGGTGTTTTCAGGCTTAAATGCACTGTTGGTCCTGCAATGAATGAACATTTCAATATGTCCATAAGTATTTCAAACAGTAGAGGGACAGCACAATATAGTACATTTTCCTATGTGGTAAGTCTGAGCATTACTTTTCTCATGAACTAGGATATTTAATTGTTACTTAATCTATTTAGTTATGAAGTTAACAAGTTACTTTGTTTTGTTTTTATCTCTCATTCAGGATCCTAAAATAACAAGTATTTCTCCAAATTATGGTCCTAAGACTGGTGGCACTTTACTTACTATAACTGGAAAGTTCCTAAACAGTGGAAATTCTAGACACATTTCAATTGGTGGAAAGACATGCACTTTGAAAAGGTTTTGTGAATTTATTTTTCATTGCATTAGCTACTTTGGATTAATAGCTATACCTAACAAATTGGGGAAAGAATGATCTTTTTATGTATGGAGAAAATGTTATATGTTTATAATTTACTTTCCTGCTGACAAAATTTCCTCCTTCCCAAATGCATCTATTCCTTTTTGCTGGTTTTTCTGCCTTTCCCTTATTATTTATTTATTCCACTTTGAAGGTTTTTTTAAGATTTATTTATTTATGCATATAAGAACTGGGGTGTAGGCCAGAGGTGTGGGGGGTGAGAGGATTCACCAGAGACAGAGTGGGGAACAGAACAGGCAGAACGACCAAAATACACTGCTGAGGGGAGCAGCGGGTGAGTCAGGAGAGGTCTGCTGCACATTGTGGGTAGCTCCCTGGCCAGGGATCAAACTTGTGCTGCAGTGGCTGTGGATAGCTTCAGAGGTTGCGTCTTAATCCCTTGTGCCACCAGGGAGGCCCTCCACTTTTAAGTTTTGTTTTTCCAAGTACTTTGTCTACTATTATGTCTATGTTATGATCTGTGCGATTATGGTAATGAACAATAAATTAAAATAAGCATTTAATTAAATGTTATATAAAAAGATTTACAATTAGACCGAATCATTTTGGAGTAAAGAGAAAGGAGAGATTGATTTTGGAGGGTGGTTAGATTTCTGCTTCTTAGAATAACTTGATATATTCAAGTACTAAGTACTTGATAATATAGTACTAAGGATACTATAAAAATTGCTTAAATTCCCAAATGTTTTGAGGTCAAGGCTGACTTACCTACAACAAGGTTAAGTTTGGGATCCAGTCAAATGTAAACAACATACGTTCGAAAGAGCTTTTTTCTAGACTACATCAGGAAATTCCCATTTAGTAACCATTGAGTGATGTTCTTTTTGATATATGAATATAATTCTTAGCTATGTGTAGCTCTAATGGCTAAAGTCCATTTTCTTAAATTTTTTGTTCAGTGTGTCAGATAACGTTCTCGAGTGTTATACGCCAGCCCAAACCACTTCAACTGAGTTTCCTGTTAAATTGAAAATTGACTTAGCCAACCGAGAGACCAACAGCTTCAGTTACCGGGAAGACCCCTTTGTCTATGAAATTCATCCAACCAAATCTTTTATTAGGTAAGTCAAAGCCTCTGATAGGTAGAAGAAAATAATGACCATCAGGATGATTTGGTTGACAAGTAGTGAAGAAGAATTAGAGTTTTATCTCCGGCTTTGATATTGTTGCATTTCTTTTGAAGGCTGCCTTTCCAACTCAGGAGTGAAAACTGTATTCAGGTTCTGAGTACAGTTTTACTCTATCAATGTTAGTTCATGCCAAGAAGCAATTTATCCTATTTATTACATTTTAAATAGATTTCAGTACATCAGTTTAATGTGATACCACAGAGTTTATGCACTTATATTAGTTATGTACATGTCAATTTTATACTAACCTTGATGTCCCAAAGTGAAATCATCTTTTTCCCCTTTATTCTGTAGCATATTTTTGCTTTACATGGAGCTATTCACAATTACAGAACCCTCAGAATCAGAATCTCACTAGACCAAGTTCAGTTTGCCTTTCTCTGTTAACTGTATCAGTCTAGCAATAGTAGTTAAGTTCATTTTTCTTTGTCTTTTTTTCAGAGAGGCAAAAATATTTCTTTTGTGTATTTGATGAATGAAAAAGCAAGTGCATTTCTTTGGCTTGTAAGATATAAATTAATTTTTCCAACTTAAATAAGTTGTTTCTAAAAGAGTTATCACTGAACTTGAATTGGTCTTTGGCTATAATGTGCAATCACTAAACCTGATTTAATTTTACTTCCTTTATAAAATATTTGATAGTGAAAGAGCCTCTCAATATCGCATTTTTTTTCTACTTTATTTTACCAGTGGTGGGAGCACAATAACAGGTGTTGGAAAAAACCTGAATTCAGTTAGTGTCCTGAGGATGGTGATAAGTGTGCCTGAAACAGAAAGGAACTTTACAGTGGTAAGTCCTTTGAGTGATGGTTGTACTTAAAGTTCTTTGTCTGCCTCTATCTCTGGCTTTCAGGTTTTTCCTATACAGGTTGCTTATTACCTTCCTTGCAGCATAGATTAAATAGTACTTTTTTATTCAACAACTAGAAGTATCTAGACTCGGGGTAACATTGTAAACACACACACACAATGTACATACATGTGTACATAGACACAAATAGTAGTTACTAACTTGAGGTGGTAGTGTTTTTGTGATCAATACAGGTGCAAGCCATACCATTTCCTATCTTAATTCAGGCTGCTGTAACAACAACAAAAAATATAGACTCGGTGACTTAAATAGTAAACATCTATTTCTCACAACTTCAGAGTCTGAGAAATCCAAGCTCTATTTGCTGGCAGACCCAGGTGTCTGATGAGGACACTCTTACTAGTTTGTACATAGCCATTTTTTTATATCCTCACATGACTGAGAGAGACCGGGTAAAGAAGCTTACTTATGTCTCTTCTTGCAAAGACATTAATCCCATCACGAGAACTCTACCCTTATGACCTAATTACCTCCCAAAGTCTCCACCTCCACATTTGGAATTAGGGTGCCAACATATGAATTTGGGGGAAAAGCATTCAGTCCACAGCATTTCCCTATCTGCCATTTTTTAGTGCATTGTAGATTGTCTACCTTTTTGCTGTAATGAAACCCATGGATAAAGCTTCTAACTTTGCAGCAGCATTATCTTTCTGAGTGATAGGTCCACAGTGTTTCCTAATTATTCTTCTTTCTTTGTTAGCATGTTATCAAATAATAAGAAAGTACATTAGAATACTTATGTATGTTGTTTGATATTTCTGAATCTTTCCTTCTTTTGTTTGCATTGTCAATCATTTTTAACCGATGCCTCCTTAAAAGTGTTTGACCTATTATGGGCTCTTATTATGTAGGTCACACTAAAACAGTGAATTTAATTTAGACCTTAAGACGGTTGGAATTATTTGTAAATATTTCATGTTTTTGTTGATATTTTCTCTAATATACCATAATCTAGTTGGACTTGTGACTAAACTTAGAATGAAAGTTCTAAGTGTCCCTCTCAAGCAGGGTCTTGATTGGGCAAGTGATAGATTGAATTACAGCACTTTCTTTTAGATGCCCCATCCAATATTTCTTGAAGACTAAAGCCACAATGTTCTTTAATTACAAAAACCAATTTAGGACTAAAAATGTCAAGCCAGATCACCAAACAGTAAGGTCATTTCAAATGAGATTTTTCTTGACCTTCTCAATCAGCCACATTACATCACCTCTAAAGAGTATTATTAGATTTTTATCATATTCCTGAGAGATTGTACTCCAGGGAGTCATGGTATGAAGTAGAAAGCTTTGAAACCATCCCCACACACATGGCCACAAATAAAGTTAGAATACCACTGCTATTAATTTAAAGGACATCAGTTTTCCACAACCAAATATAGCAATTTTTCATTAACCAAATAAGAATAACAATAACCCTCTTTGGTGTTGGTATGTGACTTGTTAAAGTAGAAATCTTAAAAATTATTAGTTTATCTAGTTTGTACCAAGCCTACATTATTATTGCAATAATGGCTAAATTTACTTCCTTCTCTCTCACTAGCATTACTACGACATGTGAAACTCCTTTGACTTTATTCATTGATTTAAATCAAATATGTATTAAAAATTTCCAGGCACAGGGGACTGTGGTGATAGTGCACGGGTGAATTGGTAGAGGAAATTCTATGGGGACTACACCTGAGGGGGGAAAAAAACAAACATTGTTTAAAAATGAACAATGATGTAAAATATATATAAATAAATAAATTTTAAAAAAAATTTCAGGCATGAGACACATTAGCACTTATCTCAAGGAAGATTCAAACAATGGTAGTAGATAAAAATCTTACTGAAAATGTAAACTTCTGGTAATTTAGCCACAACCATAGTACAATAGAGCTATGTGTTAGAATTATACCAGAATGAAAAATTCAGTAGATCTATTTTACTGTTGTTGGTGAAAACTACCTTATACAAAGACTTATATTCCTTGCATGTTCCCTGCTGCTGATAGAATTTAAAGATGATGAATTGATCTGATTCATTATTTAAGAAATAGAAACTCTTGATCAGATCTGATTTAGATAGATTGATCCAGCAACAATAACTTAAACCCAGGAAACTGCAATCTTTTAAAATAAAATTACTGATCACCTTCTCAACAAAATGTGTATTGATTTGTTAATGTGCATTATTCCCCCAGAAGCTAGCAATTTATTGTATTATTTCCCATTTTTTGTTACATAGAGAACTATTATTATGGCAATAAAATTATTCATTTCCATTTTTCAAGATGATAGGAAGATTTTAGCATTATAATATGAAATTTATATAAATTGAAATAGTATTTTATTCCTATACCTGTATATCAGTTTTCTATATCTGTTTACAGCATACATTTTTAAATGTAGTACATTTTAATAAAAAATACCAAATACCCAATTTTGTTTGTGCTTTTTATGTATATCCTGAGTCCTTTTTCTATTGTGGGCAATAGTAATTGTTTTATCTCCAATTCTACTTGTCAAAGAAAAGGAAATCTAAGGGATGTTGTTGCTTGTTTGTCTTTTCCTTGGGGGGAAAAAAATGCAACCATTTAACCTTAAATGTGCTACTTCATGTAGCTGGTTTAGTCTAAGCACAATCAAGAGGAAACCACATTTTCCTAACTTCCATAAATCAGAATTCCAGAGGGGAGGATTTAAAATGAGAGATGAAAGGGCATGAAATAATAATAGCAGGGCCTTTGTAAAATAGTCAGCATGAGAATAGACTTGGTGATATAGAATGTAGAATGAGCAAAAAACCATATTGCTTGGAAGTTAAGACAGTGAATTTTGGAGCCAGTGGCCTAGCATTAACATTCCCTGTCACTCAATTGTGTGACCTAGTCTAATGACATAAACTCAAAAGGTTCAGTTTCTTGGGCCTCCCTGGTGGTGCAGGGGTTAAAGTCTCAGCCCTAGCAAGCTATCACCAGCCACTGTAACAAGAGTTTGATCCCCAGCCAGAGAGCTGACTCACATGGCACAGCAGACCTCTCCTGTCTTGCCCACTGCTCCCCTAAGCAGTGTATTTTAGTCAATCTGCCTGTTCTGCTCCCCACTCTGTCTGGTGAATCCTCTCACCACCCGCCACACTTCTGACCTACCTACTCCCCAGTTCTTGTATGCATAAATAAATAAATCTTTAAAAAAAAAAAACTCAGTTTCTTCATGTATAAAATGTAGATGATATAGCAACTACCGTATAGGATTATTATGAGAAATAAGTGAGACCAACCTTATAAAATATTTAACATTGATCCTGACACTCAGTAATTGGTGTCAGGATACCACTAATAAAATGACCTAAACACTTACTTAATTCTAATGTTAACCATATAGTGGTTAACAGTTGACACAGCACTTTACAGTCTAGTACTCCTCATTGTGAATAATTCTTTTATCTTACTTCTTAAATAACTGAGTTTCCAAGTAAGAGGTGTGTCCTATTTCTCACAGGAAATAGGTTTAAAGCTAGGATGTAAATGAGGACTTCTAACTGCACATAATCCAGCTACGCTTCTGCAATAGCTGTTTCATATACAAGGATGCAGTCCCTCTAGGTGATGGTCCCTTAAGGAAAATAAAGTTATATATAGAGAGAGAGAGCCATCTTCAGATAGACATCAATGTAGTTTATTCCTGTCAAGTGAAGCTTTGTGTTCCTCTGAAAACTGTGTACTTTGCATAATTTTGCATGTATCACTTCCAGAAATGTGGTATTCAACATAAAGAAGTTAAATGCAGTTTTCTTTGAAATTTATGTATTTTCAATTGATTGTCTGAAGCACTGAAATGTAAATGTTGCTATTGTTGTCAAGCTATGTTGTGTTTACAGCAGTTAATTGTGTCTTACTATAGGCATGTCAACATCGCTCTAATTCAGAAATAATCTGCTGTACAACTCCTTCACTGCAACAGCTGAATCTGCAACTCCCCCTGACAACCAAAGCCTTTTTCATGTTAGATGGGATGCATTCCAAATACTTTGATCTCATTTATGTACATAATCCTGTATTTAAGCCTTTTGAAAAGCCAGTGAAGATCTCAATAGGCAATGAAAATGTACTGGAAATTAAGGTAAGTAATGCTTAAAATACTCTCTTAAATCATCAGCTTGCACTTAATTGGCTTCGCTATATGAATAGAACTGCTGTACTTGGTCATTACATCTTATATATTACATCAGCAAATATCTAAGCTCTGAAAAACAAATCTTTTTGGCATTAGGCTAAAAGGTATGTGTAAAATCGTGGACTGCTTTTTAATGAAGCATTTAACAACTCCTTCTTGTGTATATATTAAAAAGTAGCAAATGTGGAGCACACATCCATTAAATAGACTGACTGTGATGCATTATCCTGCTGATGTTATATTTCCCTGGATACCAAAGTTCATTATAAGATAAAAGGGAAGAGCCATAAATGCATTAATTATCAATCTGTACTTCCTTGTAATACTGGGAATTTTGTATCTGGGTGTGGTCATGTCTAAGCTGACTTATAAATTGAGCTGGATTTCCTCTATCTTAGGAATACATTAGCCTCTAAATATAATTTAATCACAGGATAACAGATCATCTTTTCTAGCCCAGACTGTTGCAAAGAACACTAAAGCTCAGAGAGGTTAAGTGTTTTGACAAGTGATGAAATAGGAGCAGAACAAAGACTAGAATACAGCTCTTTTATATCTCTTCAGTCATTTTTACTTCAAATAGTCACAAAACAGACAAAATGATCAAGACTAATTATCTATAGCCTCAATACTAAAAATAACAAAATGTTTATCCTTCAACATGTTGCTTTAGGCAGTCCGAATTTTTTACCTGAAAAAACTGAAAATGAAATGAAAATGAAAATATGAGCAAACACAAATAGAATAGTCAGTTTAGATGTAATGTTAGTTCCCAAGGATTATCGCCATCTAAGTAAATACGTTTCTACTGAAATATTTCTGCTTTTTCAACAAGATTTTATCTACAGCCAAATGCATGCACACATTCACTCATACAAGTTTACTAACCTGGAAGTGTTGGTTTGTACAATAATTAAGCAAGCCCAGCATGAAATTAAATGGAAGCCTGCTTCAATGAACAGCGTGTTTACCACAGCAAAGTTCTTTCATCTACTTCTTTAATTAGTTTTAGAAAGGGAAAAAGAGGTTTTATCATTTCTTTTTTTTCCCCAATAAAACTAATCTAGTGTGACCTTTTGCTTCCAACAATTACTGTGTTTGCCATTTGAAAGATACCATATGGTTTTTTCTGATGAAAACAAAGGTTTATTTGCAAATATTTTTATACTCAGATAAACTATTTTTCTGTTCCTGTATCTTGATAGAAGAATTAGGGATAAAATGTTATTTATTTACCCTTCCAAGCACAGTATTACATGGAGAAGAAAACTTCCTTTTCCATAAATTAAATGCCTGTTATTCATTGCCCTACAAAATTGTTGAACCAACAAAAACATAATTTGACATCATCCTCAGCCTTTTAGCACTATTCCAAACACAGGCCAAGTGGTTTCTGGAAACAGGCACAGAATACTTTCTTTTCTTGCCTATATGCAGAATAACTCTTCTTTCACACATATTTACACCTGTTAGGTCAGAGAGTGGCAATCTGGAGAAAAAGAGGGCATTTTAGGGGGATTTTTTTTGTTATTATGACTTATTCTCCAATATTCCATTTGCCATACATATAAAAGGAAATCTAGTGTATAAGAAAATATTTGCATGACATCAGTTTTACCCTTTATCAACTTCTAAAATTGATCACATTAAAAAAAATCTGCCTCTTGGGGCAGAAACAAAAGAAAGCAGAGCATGTGAAAAGAAAAAAGCCCCTTCGAAGCAAGCACTGAGCATTTTTTTTTAATCAAAAGAAAGATTACCATTTTACTTCATGTTGTGCTTGTTTAATTACATCACAAAACATGAGTGTGAAATGTTTGTATTCCGTCAGTGAAAGCACTATGGGCAGAATCGTGTGTTTGGAGTACAATTTACTCCTTATTGCCAAGAAGAGTTCATGCTCCTCAAGCAGCCATGCATGGTAGAATTCCTTGGCTAAAAAGATATTTTGATAGTTTCGAGCCCTAATTTTAAGAATTGCTACAATCAGCACTTGGCTCATGACTAAGACATCATGGCCGAGAGGGTCAGCCAAGTTTGGGTCAAGAATACATTCTGGATACCAATTTTTATTTGCTCCTCAGAATGAATCAGAAACTCCGTTATTGTTGAAAATAGTTTATGAGCAAAGTTTCAAGTCATCCAGGACCAGTAGGGGATAGTGGTCATCAGAATTAGAGACATCAGTTTGAGAGTACACCTTAGGGCATAATGTTCATGTCAACAGCAGCTCACACTGGTGTGGGATTTTAGTTAACACAATGCTTTAACATTATCATTTAATCTGAGATTCATGTGGATCTGTGACATTGAGATGTTAATAATCATTATCTCCATTTATAGATATCTAAACCAAGGTTTGGAAAATTTAGGTAATTTGTCTTAAGTCATCTGGGGAGCATACAATAGAACTAGGTCTCGCACTCAAGTTTCTGGGTTCCAACTATGGTCTTCTTTCCCCTAAATTACAATGCTTTTTGTATTAATTGTCATATAATGTATACCAAAATACCTTTCACAATAGAAAAACTTTTCAATAATATGGCATATGTGTGTATGTTCTTTAAGTGAAATAGCTCTAAGCTCTTTGCAGTATCTAAAAATCAATTTTATTTAAAGAAATCTTATATTTTCCCTAAGTATCTTGTTTTGTAATTTTGCACATGAGCATAGTTTATGAGAAGTATAAAAGTATAGAATTTCATGCTGGAACAAGGACTGCCCAACACTGCCTTGGAGGTTGTGTTAATCTGGAACATATTGATACATATACGGTAATAGAGATGCTTCAAAAGTCTTATTGTGGAAATATCAGCCAAAATAGGGAAAAGGGAGCAAAAAAGATCACTAAGATCAAAAGCAAGCATTTGGGCTATGACACTGTGAGCTAACTCAGTCCACCTACTGCCAGAGTCAGCCAAAATTGTCTTCTTTAGCATTTCTAACTAATTTACCTGCAACTATAGACCTAATCCCAGTCATAACCACCATGAAATCAGTTCTATTTCCAGAAAGGATACATATGAAGGGCTCTTTCCTTAGAGGTCGTTTGGCCCCATCCTTTTTGATGGTGTTCATAAACTGATAGATCCCTGTGTTCCACATGTTAATATGTATTCTGTAGGGAACACAAACACACACACACACACACACACACACACACATACATGTTCCAGGGCACACAGATAGCACCTTCACAGTGCCTCAAGTAGCCATTGAGGAAACCAGTTTAATGTTGGTTCACCCAGCTTTTCTCAAATGCCCTGGGTGTTTTTTCCCCAAATGCTTCTTCACATCTCACAGAGCTCTGTGAAGATACTTGGACCTGATTCCTAAGCAAAGGTGCTTGTATCTTCTAAATGAAGTGTAAATCTCCCCCATCACCACTACCACCAACTCACTGATTTTCTGATGTAACCTCCCTGGAGTTTGAATAGGCTATCAGCCTGTGTCTCACTGCCTTAGCTGACTTTCCCAGACTCAATCTTGTCATCACCTGGATATATGGAAACTTACACAATCCCTTCAACTATAATGCTATTTTTCAAATCCTTCCCACTTCCACTTCTGTGTGCTTTGTAACCAGCTCAGACATAAGTCCCAGGCATGAATCCTAGAGAAGATTCATTATGTCACACCTGGTCAGACTTGGAGAGGAAAGTGACAAAGAACATCCTGATATGACACATTGGGAATACTTTGTTTTCATTTTAGAAATATATCCATTTTAAGATTATGGTGAGAAGGAACTCTTGTTCATCTTTGTATTCTCAGTATCTAGCTTGTGTCTTACACACACTAAGTGGACTTAGATGTTCAGTAGATTTTTGTATCAAATAGAATTTGATTTGCTTCATGATCTAGTCACCTTTAATCTAGTCTCCTTTAATTCTTAATGTGTAAAGCTGGAAAGACAGACAGTAATACCTAGCTCAGGAGGTTGTCTTTAGGGAAAAAGTGAGATAATTATAACCCTAAATTGCTGTATGTATTTGGGGATTAAAGACCAGAAAGTTTTTCCTGTGTTGCTATATTTTATACCTCTAAGTGATATATAGTGGTGTATCCCAACATTACCTCAATTAAAATAATACAATGAAGCTCTTTAATTTGATGTAGTCCCAGCTGTTTATCTTTGCCTTTGGTATCACTGCTTTGGGTGATGAGTCTTTAAAGATGTTGCTGAGGTGTATGTCGGGTAGTGTTTTGCCTATATTTCCTTCTATATATTTTATGGTTTCAGGTCTTATGTCTAGTTCTTTAATCCATTTTGAGTATATTCAAAGTATATTTTTAAAGGAGAGAAAAAAAGAAATTGTATTTAAAAAAAAGAAACAGTATATTTAAAGTATATTTAAAAAATAATAATACAATGAAAAAATAAAATAAAAGCTTATATGCTATCACTTCAATGACTGAAAAACTTAGCCAATTTTGTAAATACAGTGTTCTTCTGAATAATAGTAAATGTTAAGTAATAAATAATTTTAAAGTAAATAATAAAATTTATGAACATATACATTTTTTCCACAGCCATATTTATTTTAAACGACAAAAGGTAGTTTGTGTCTTTTTCCCTTTTTGCCAACTCAGGCCCCACTGTTATATAATACTGGGCTGCCAGCATTACTTTTGTGATTTCTTGGACTTTAAACGTTTTGAACAATTACACAAAAAAGTTGATAGTAATTTCTCAGTGTAAGTCACTACTAATTATGTGTTCCTGAGTAAGCCCAAATGAAAGGGTTCGGTTTTTCAATTGTGTGATCTGTTTTTGTTTTAAAGAAACCTTTATATAATATCCAAAGAGATCCTGGGTTTAAAAGAATGAGTATTGGAAATGTAAATCCAGTGTTTTCATCCTTTCCCCCAATCTTCATTATTATCTAAGCAAGCAAGACACATTTTAGTCATTCCCTCATAAATCAAGCCCTGTGGCTCTTTCATCTTTCTTCTTTGTCATTCCCTGAATTCCCTCCAATATGTGCGTGAATGCCTGAGCTCTCTTCAGACCTAACCAACAAGTTGTCATTTGAAGCCCCAAAGTGACCTAGTAGATTTATGTACTTCTAGGTTGAATGCTCTGTGTGACTGGTCTGATTCAGTGGAGTACACATACTGCCTCTAGAAATATTGTTAAGATAGGGTTTGTCTATGTCCAATTTTTTCTTAAATAACAGATTCATATTATAAAGAAAAACTTTCTTCCAACTTCTTTTCCCAGAATAATAATTGACCTACCACTCTTTTGAGATCCATTGAGATCTGTTGAGATATGACAGATTGTATGTAAAAGCAGTTTGCTAAGTATTAAAGATTATATAAAACAGAGGGCGGTACTATAATTATTACTGGCTCCTCTTTGTCCATAAAGAAAATAGTAATGTGCTTTGCTGTATCTCTCCTTAAAGTAATGGATTGTTTAATAAGTAACTGTACTCATTATATCCTGATATAAGGAAAGATACCTTTGTTTTCAATTCTTTCCCAAGGATAATTATTGGTTTCTCCCCCCCAAAAAAGGTAAATAAATGTTGATTTATTTTAAATACCTAGTGGAAACTTTAATTAACTAAATGTGTCAAATTGAATATTTTTTTAAATCCTGAATTAGTAACTATATAATTGTTCAAAATAATGTAATCATATTCTCAAATCAATAATGAGAATCATATGGCAAGTGATAAGAATTTATTTAAAATGAATTCATTTATGTATAGGATTCAACTGTGCAAGAAGGATAAAAAGAAACTGCACAACTCAAACACAAAATATTAACACAAATCAATTAAATCTGAAGCTCTGGAGATGGGACCCAGACATCAGTATATTTTTAGAGCTCTCAATGTGTTTCTAAAAGTGACGTCAAGGCCAAATATCACTGCATTAGACAGTGTCAGGCAGTAGAACAAATTATTTCCTCTTTGCCAACCATCGATTTCCCCTGAAAATATTGTTAAGATGATTATGGGTAAAATATATGAAACAAGAATTTCTTTCCTTTTCTCTAAAATACAATTTGAAGAACTACCTATCTGTTGTGGTTCCTGACTAATTAGTGCCCTAAAATGGTCATGCTCTTTCAACCATCCAAATTCCCAAGAAAATGAGTATCATAAAGTCATGTGCCTTGGCAAACAACATGTCCTGTGTTTGTTAGCATTCCTGCAAAACTGTGAAGTGTTGACCCCCCCTTTTTTTTTCTTCCAGGGAAATGATATTGACCCTGAAGCAGTTAAAGGTGAAGTGTTAAAAGTTGGAAATAAGAGCTGTGAGAGAATACAGTCATACTCTGAAACCGTTTTATGTACAGTCCCCAATGACCTCCTGAAATTGAACAGTGAGCTAAATATAGAGGTGGGAGTCCTATATTCCTCTCAAGATGTAAATAAAGTTGTCAATAATTATATCACTTACAGGTTTGAAATAAATCACTTAAATTCATTTGTGTGTTGGCTTTAGCTCGTCAACCCAGCCTCAGTTTAGCTCGTCAACCCACCCTCATGCCTGTTATGTTAGAAATAGTAAATTTTTAATGCAGTTTCTCCTTCCCAAGCTCCAGAGAGATCTCAAAAGAACTTCATAGACACACTGCCTTTGCATCAAGCCACACGCTTGCCAAAATTTACTGTAATTCTCAGGAGGTATGAGGAAACATCGAGAGTGCCTCTTCCCCTACTCCTCACTACCCCAGGACACCAGAGCTAACATACTACCGCCCTCCATAGTAATCTTCAATGCATGGATCCCATTATATAAGCACTGGATGAGAAAAAAAAAAAAAAAAAGAAATGGGGGCCTCCCCAGTGGCGCAGCGGTTGAGCGCTGGGTTGCGAAGCTGCCCACAGCCTCTGCAGTGCCAGTTTGATCCTGGGCTGCTCCCCGGCCACCGGAGGAGGGTCCCACATGGCGCACAGACCTCTCCTGCCGCCCGCTGCTCCCCTCAGCAGTGCACTTCCTCAGTCTACCTGTTCTCTTCTCCGCTCTGGCTTGGTGAATTCTCTCACCCTCCAGCTCTTCTGACTGTATCCAGTGTTTGTATAAATAAATAAATAAATTTTATAGTAACTTCTTTCACGTAGACTACTAAATCAGATAACCTGGAAATAGTGATCTTTGTTCATTTTTTAAAACAGCTTTATGGAGATATAACTCGCATACCATGCAATTTCCCCACTCACAGTGTACAGTTTAGTAGTTTTTGGTATAATGTTATTAATTTTTTAATATGAGTAAGACTGAATCATGAGATCAGAGTTTGGAATTCAGAAGCACCATAAATCTTAAGAATCATAACATGTCAGAACCAGAAGGAATCCCAAAGGTTTCTTCTCTGTATCAAAACTGAAATAAGAATATGCTGAGATTTTATTATTCCTCAACAATAATATGATTATTTACCTTTTATGGGAGTTCTTCTCTGCCTTCCAGCCTATCCTCCAGGACAGAATTAATGTCCTGTTGTCTGTTTATTCAGACTTTAGTGGTACATATCACATTGTATCATAATCATTTGATTTGTGTGTCTGTTTCCCCTTTTACATTAGTTTCCCAATATCAGAAATTATTTTTTATTAATCTTTTTATCCTAAATATCTCATTACAGATACTAATAGCTAAGTAGCATGTAAGTACTTCAGGGATCAGTAGCCCCTATTTATTTGACTACTGAAGCAGAATTTAGCAATGACCTATTACTCTGAAGCAATTATGCCATCTGTAAGAATGTTAGTAACCAAATGTTACTACCCAGAGAGACTGTGATTCAACCTGTGTAATGTATTTTGAATCTCTGATGGTGGTTTTGACTTTTCTTTTTTTTTTTTTTCATTTTTAGTGGAAACAAGCGGTTTCTTCAACTGTCCTTGGAAAAGTAATAGTTCAACCAGATCAGAATGTCACAGGACTGATTGTTGGTTTTGTTTCAATATCAATAATACTGTTATTATTATTTGGGCTTTTCCTGTGGTGGAAAAAGAGAAAGCAAATTAAAGGTACCATTTTTCAAAAATAATTGTTTGCTTTAGAGTTACCTTTAAAATGTAGTTCCTGCAGTTTAAAACTGTCATAGATTCATGTGCGCTCTTACTTGCAGACCATAAAATCCATGAGTTCTAGTCACTGGGTCAAGGTCCACTGGGACCCATGAGAGCCAAGTGTTTAACAAGCTCTCTCTCTCTCTCTCTCTCTCTCTCTCTCTCTTTTCTCTCTCTCTCTCTCTGTCTCTCTCTCTCTCTCTGTTTTAAGATCTAGGCAGTGAATTAGTTCGTTATGATGCAAGAGTACACACTCCTCACTTGGATAGGCTTGTAAGTGCCCGAAGTGTAAGCCCAACTACAGAAATGGTATCAAATGAATCTGTGGACTACAGAGCTACCTTTCCAGAAGGTATAGTTCACTTTATTGTTCTGAGAAATACCTAATTGATTTGTGGCATTCTTTGTTTATTTTTGGTTTTGCCTTTATACTTTTATATAAATATAAAACAAGTATGTGGTAACATAGACTTGCAGAGGTGTGAGACCATCCCCCTAAGTCATATTCAGTATTGTAAACTAGTGATACCTCAATTTAAAAAGTACTTACCTCTTCTTTCGCCAGAAGTATTTAATTTCACACAGAATTATGTCTTTTTTTTAAGTGAACTCATTTGTATATTATATTCAAATGTTAGTCTTCAAGCACTCTTCTCACAACAGCTTATTTTTTAAATCATTTAAGTAATGGTAATTTACTTGTCATCTAAGTACAATGCTGGGAAATTGTGGAGTTCTCTAACAACCAGGGAAGAGTTAAGATATAAAACATGTTTATTTAAATATAAATTAACAGTGCTACTTCTTTTTTAACTGTTGATCCTCAAGCATTTAAATTATACCATTAGTACTCCTTGAAAGAGTTCTTAATGAACTATTGGTATACAACCTTTTACTCACAACATTCCAGGACTTGAATATACAGTATTTTGAGTCTTAGCCATTAAAACTTTCAATTGTTATTTAAAAAGGAGGGGTTAACATCATCTGCTTTGCAAAACACTAGGCCTAGCAACAGTCAGGTTACAGAGCATTGTTTTATTTAAAATATCTTAGCAAAAGCAAAATGTCTGTATTGTATCTGCTTCATTATCTTTAGAAGTTACAGGACATGAGTCAAGTACAAGCATTTCCCTGGTTGAGTATTTACCATTGGACAAATAAAATGAGTCACAAATGATTGAGGACACTGAAAACTTAGAAGTTGCTTATCAACTCAAGTACAAGAGCAAAGAGGCAAATTAGCATTTTAACTTTTGCAATACTTTTATTTTTTGAAGTTTGTGTTCTGTAGAACTATATCTGTAAATATTATCTTCGCCTACATGACTCGATTCACCTATAAAATTCAAGCCCTTAACAATGAGATAAATCCAGTTTATAGTTTTAAATTTAGATCTATTTGCCATTTTATATTATATTTATATTAATATCACATCTAATAGCTCTAATCAGAGATCATTAAAATTCACAGTCTTTTTAAAATTTAATCTTCTTTCAACAGCCTTACCAAATCCCTGTCATAATTGCTAAGAAATTTGAGTTGCATCCTCTTTTCTATAATTTAACTACATATAATGGAGAATTTACTACTGATGTGTAAAGCTTTCAGTGCTGAAATTTTAGCTATTATGTATTTCCAATGATATATATGTATAATATTTCACTATACATATTTTCCTTGATGAAGAATTTATATAGATTTTCAGCAATTCTAATAACTTCCGTTAGCAGACATTAACTCAAAAGCTGTCTTTTTGTTTTCTTATATATGGATTGGATTTGTATGTCAGAAGGCAACTGCCTGACTACTTTGCTGCTCCCTAGTTTTAAAAGTATAGTGTATTAAAAGATAAACCTCAAGCATGACTTTTTTGCTATATGCAAAAAGAGAAATGTCTAAGGAAATGAAAAAAATAAAGTGACTTTCAAAGTTAATACTTAAACTTTATAAACATTTTTCACAATACTTGCAGGTGTATCTGTATATGTGTATGCATGTATTTTCATGCATGTATTATCTTTAGAAGTTAAATATATGCACATACACACATACACACACACACACACACACCAGTATCTTTTCCCAACTCATTTTAATTGAACATTTCCCCTATGAAGTCTCTCCCAGCCTCATGCAATTTTAAAATCCACATTTCTTTCATTTTAAATTTTGGCTTCATTGTTAAGTTTGCTGCCCCTGTTGCAATCCTCCCTAAGTGAGGCTTTGCCATTGTTTTCTAACAATTTTGCTTTATCTTGCAGACCAGTTTCCTAACTCAACTCAGAATGGATCTTGCAGACAAGTGCAGTATCCTCTGACAGACCTATCCCCCATCCTAAATAGTGGGGACTCTGATATATCTAGTCCATTACTGCAAAATACTGTCCACATTGACCTCAGTGCTTTAAATCCAGAGCTGGTTCAGGCAGTCCAGCACGTAGTAATTGGGCCAAGCAACCTGATTGTACATTTCAATGAAGTCATAGGAAGAGGTAAGTATTTCCACTCAGCTTTTTGTTAAATACGATTTTCCAGCATTTTATCTTTTGCCTTTGCAGATTAGGAACTTAAACAATGGTGAAAGTAAACTGACAGAGCAATGATAACAAGTGCACTGGATTTCTGTTCTGCAGAAATACTGTCCTGGAAACCACATCTGTGGGGATTTGCCCCTTGTACATGTTGGCAATTTGATAATCTGCCAAACATATTAGAAATAGGGGCCTCCCTAGTGGTGCAGGGGTTAAAGTCTTAGCACTATCAAGCTATTGCCAACCACTGCAGGCTGAGTTCATCCCTGGCCAGGGAGCTAACCCACATGGCACAGCAGACCTCTCCTGTCTTGCCTGCTGCTCCCCTCAGCAGTGTATTTCAGTACATCTGCCTTTTCTACGCCCCACTCTGTCTCTGGTGAGCCCTCTCACTACCCCCACACACACATACACACCTCTGGCCTGCACCCCAGTTCTTGTATCATAAATAAATTTAAAAAAAAAAAGAAAGAACGTAATCATATTACTTCCTCACCTTTTTCATAATGACAACTATAGTTTCTTGGAAGGTGCCATTTTACTTCATTTTCAAAATCATTCTTTTAAGTTCCAATATTTTTACTCATATCTCTCTCCAGTTTTTCTTTACCCTAAGAATAGTGACTAACTTTATGAAATCCTGGTTCATAGCAATTTGTATACTGCTGTACAGCATCAGAAGACAGGGAATTAATTTATAGCATTCCTCTGATCTGAAGCAACATATATCATCTCTACAATTCACTCCAATTTCTTTATACAAAGAGAAGCAAATATTTGTAATAAGCTAGTCAGAGCAGCAGTATCTTAGGAAATAGCAGGAAAGAAATCAACCAGAAGTCAAGAAATGGACTTCACTCTTCCTTTTTTTTTTTTCCCAAAAAGCTTTTACCTTTAATACTGGGTGACTCTGGATCTCTTTTATTCCATATGTTCTACAAGAGCTAGCATAGGAATCTGCCAGCATGCTGCAGGAGAAACTAATAGGACAATCTGCCTTATATGAACACAAGGCCTCTCCATTTTCCTATGATAGCATCACATATTCCTCTATCACACATTCCAGATTTTAAGCACTAGCACACACCCCTTCCCTAATACCAGCTTCACTATTAACAAACATGTTTCAAATTGGAGCAATAGATAGCTCTATTACTAGCCTATAAATCCCAGTAATTGCACCCGTTTTAGAGTATGTGGCCTCACTAATTATGTTCTAATTCTATACATTGCAAAATTAGAATTTTTTATTTTTATCATAAAAGGTGCTAAAAAAAAGGCAGTTATTTCTCTTTTGAAGTAATAGTCATTGACATTTTATAAATAGTAACTATAAAATATTTGTTTATTTCCCAGTAGAATGTTAGCCCCCAAAATCATAGGTTTTATTCATCTTTGTATAAAAAAAGGTAGACCATTGCCTGACATTCACATACTAGGGACTCAGGGAGTCTTGGCTGGATGGATGAATTAATTAATGAATGACTTACACAGCTATCAGACTTTTGGCACCTCTGGGGAAAATTACTGCCACTGGATGAAAGGCTGCCATTGGGACAATGATGTGGTTAAAGCCAGAGGGAATGGGTGAAATGACTCACAGTGAATTTGCTTCATTTGGGCAATTGCTTTCAGTTTCTGCCAACCTGGGTTATGTTTTAACGGTGACTAATGGGGGAAATCCTTATTCTATAATAATAATCATTTTTCTAATAGTAACATTATTATGTCATTTCGGTTTACTGATTTATAAGGGGCTTATTTTACTGTATTTCTTCAGGTAAGTAAAACTTTATTTTCATAAATAATAAATTTATTTTATGATATGAAACAGATGTTATTCCTTTCTTCACTGGTTTCACTATGCTTGAATATTTTATTATTGTATTAGCCTTTGATAATAGTCACAGCACCTAGGGGCCTCCCTGGTGGCCCCAGGGGTTAAGATGCAACCTATGAAGCTATCTGCAGCCACTGCAGCACAAGTTTGATCCTGGGCCAGGGAGCTACCCACATGGTGCAGCAGACCTCTCCTGACTCGCCCACTGCTCCCCTCAACAGTGTGTTTCAGTCAGTCTGCCTGTTCTGTTCCCTACTGTCTCTGGTGAATCCTCTCACCCCCCACACCTCTGGCCTGTATCCCAGTTCTTGTATGTATAAATAAATAAATGTATTTTTAAAAAATAGTCATGGCACCTAAGTACTTTACCATATATTAAGCAAACATATTGCTTATATCTTTAGGTTAAATGTTCTCATATATGATCTACATGTGTTCTCAAATATACAATTGTGTTATTTTCAAAAGACTAAGAAATAAAGTAATTTTTTCCATGTAGAAAAAAAAGAAGTAAATAAAGGTCATGAAGGGCTTAATAATTATTGCCTAATTAATAGCACTAACCAAGTTCCCTCTTATGTATAGGACATTTTGGGTGTGTATATCATGGGACTTTGCTGGACAGTGATGACAAGAAGATTCACTGTGCTGTGAAATCCTTGAATAGTAAGTTCCACTTTATTTCACAGTAGAGTGCACTTTTGTGCTTTGCAACTAATAAATAATTCATTATAAAATGTTGATTTATACTTTCCCTTGTGCAAAAAATCAGCTACTGCTGGAAATTGTGAATCTAATCCTGAAAATTTGTTTTATCTAAATTCTTACTAAAATATTTCCTCAGAAATCATCCCTCATAGCCCTCATAATAAAATTGTAGGAGAAATGAGGTTCTTGTATGAAATGAGTATCATTTAACTATGTTTGGCTTGTAGTATTTGTTTTGCAAGTGACATTTATGGAAACTATTGGAAGCATGTTGGCACATATATTAGTAATGACTCATTTTACCCAGAGGCATTCCTTAATTATTTTTTAACCACAACTCCCATTAAAAAGATAAAAAACAAAAAAAAAATGGGAATAAAGCAAACAGGAGAAAAATATGCTGGCAGAAAATTGAAAAATTGTAAATGTGGTAATACCTCATTTATCCGCATTTTTGGGGGATGTGGTATTCCACATAAGTGAGCTTCCTAAGCAAATGAAACTTACCCCTTCTATGCTAGGACATGCTTAAACTTTTAGCACTTACAGAGAAAATATTTTGTAAATGGAATACCTACTCAGTTTAAAAAACAGAAATGCCTCCAAACATAAGCTAAGTCTATATTTGATGACCAAAAACCATAATTATGGCAAAAAAAATTGTTCTCCTGTGCAACCCAATGTTCTCCTTTTATTCACTTCCCTGACTCCACCCTTGCTGACAGGTCTCACATGTCCAGTAGTAAGTGAACTTGCCTTTTCTTCCGCCATTTCTAAATTTCTGCTTATAATTAGCAGCAATCTGAAAAATGTTAACCAACTATATTATGAAGTTATATAGGACTTAGTAAACATTAAATGCAAAAGTGGAAAGTTTTTCTACAAGATGCATTATTACCAGAACTTTTCAGCCTTTTTTTTTCCCTACATAAATCTCCATGCTGAGCAGTGTTCTATATGGTCGATTTGGTTGGAAGTCTAACTGCAAGGTAATTAAAAAGACAGTCTCCAGGAAACCTAACTACAAACTGTGATAGATTAATAAGTACAATTGTTAATAAATTTGCCCTGTGGGAGAGCACCACTGCCAATTGTACTCAGAACAATGCTAACTGAGCAATCTCTCTCTGTTCCTGGTGTGTGTCAATTTCTCTTTAGTCCAGGTGGATCTTTCAGGTCCCAGAATGCATTACAAGTATAAAAGGATATCATTACTGACACTGCTGCTAGTCAGATTAATAAGTTAAAAGTTGTAAACTCTTCTTTAATAGTAACTAGTATCAGTAGGTCTTCAGGTTATATGTCTGGAAATGGCTATCAATTTTTATACCAAAAACTGTCTATTTAGATACTATATGATAACTGCTCTTCATCTCTGCTAGTGCAGGGAACCATAAAATTACAGCCTACCACCTGTTTTTGTTAGATTATTGAGACTCAGCCACTTATTGTCTGTGGCTGCTTTTGCACTACCAAGGTAGTAATGAGTATTTGCCACAGAGACCACATGATCCACAAAGCCAAAAAATTATTTGCTATCTGAACTTTCAAAAAAAATTTTGCCACCTCCTGCCCTAAACTATAGAAATGGACTTGCCTGCTTCCCTCTCCTTTTTCTGTGTAAGAGAAACTGATTGTTAGACTCATAAAAAGGAAGTGTCGGTGATGACTTGAAGGCACAATGCAGGGTGACATCATTCACTCAGATGTACTGTAAAAAAACACTCTGAATATGAAGCCCTAGGACAAGATACAGCCTTGTAGTTTTAATGCCATTGTTCTCTTTAACGAAATTTGACAAAGTATTTATTGTTCTGTAATGAAGTTAATGTCTCCTCCACTGGATTTTTCAGGGATCACTGACATAGGAGAAGTTTCTCAGTTTCTGACGGAGGGAATCATCATGAAAGATTTTAGTCACCCCAATGTTCTCTCACTCCTGGGAATCTGCCTTCGGAGTGAGGGGTCTCCATTAGTGGTCCTACCATACATGAAACATGGAGATCTTCGAAATTTCATTAGAAATGAGACTCATGTAAGTACTAACTGGTGAACTAGATGTAAGCCAGCTAGCCAACTAGGAAAGTTTGTATATGTGATTTGCAGTATATTTCTATAGAAGAGTATTCTTCTAAACAATAAATTAGTAAGTGATTGCTTGTAATGCATGCTAATGAGGATAGGAATTTTTATGTATTTTGTTCACTGCTATAGCTCCAGCACTTAAAATAGCATTTAGCACATAGGCTTTCAGTAAATATGTGTTAAATGAATGAGCTCAGAGCTCTAAAAGAGGTTCTTAGGCTCTTGCAAATGGGAATTTTCTTAGTGACATTATTGCCAAGACTAAAGGATCAATAAGCAATGGCCAAGTCAGGGAGAGAAGAGGAAGACGTCCCCAGAAACAAAGTCAGAGGTGACCTTAGGCTCTGTCTTGGCTCTTGCTGCCCAGGCCTCTTATGGAAGTTTATGGAGTAACTTTACTTTTGATCAAAATAACTTCATGAACATGGGCTCAGGTTCTAAGTCAGTAAAGAAATAATTCATGTTCAACCTAAAGAATAAAATACTTCTTGGTAGTAAATTTTTGCAGGTAAGGTGAGTTTACCTTACAAAACACAAAACTGCCCTGACAGATCCTACATTTCCGCTCTTGCCATTATCCTGATGAGTTCATCCCTGTGTGGCCTCGATTGACGTGGCATTCCCCCTCATCTTGGGAATTGTGAATAACAAGCTGTCTTTTCAGTGGCAGTTTTCTCCCAACTGTTAATCTCACCATACCTGAATAAAAATAAAACCTACCTTTAAAACACCTTCATTTCCCCATATGGGGGAAATAGCCAAAATTTATAAAATTGTCTAGCCTGATCCTTTATAAACAGAAGTTAATAAATGGCTGTTATCAAAAGGGCCCAAGTTTTTATTTGAAATAAGATAATTCTTATAAACATTTCAGAACTCATATCACACCAAGAACAGTAGGTGCTAAGTTTATGCTTTTCCAATTCTCTTGGACTGCAGAATCCAACTGTAAAAGACCTTATTGGTTTTGGTCTTCAAGTAGCCAAAGGGATGAAATATCTTGCAAGCAAAAAGTTTGTCCACAGAGACTTGGCTGCAAGAAACTGCATGTAAGTATAGGAGTCTCTGTACCCATGGTCCAAATTAAGTGGCAAGAGGAATCTGTTTCCCACTGTTCAAGGCTTGTGAGGAACGTTTTCTCTTCTTATACAAAAGTCCTTTATTTTCCGTTACAGTTTTAAATCCATATGTAAGCATTAGGATGTGGGCGGATCTTTCAGGCTTTATTAAATTGAGAATTTAAAAGGGATTCTCCAGAGGGGGTCTTAAACAGCTGTTGTGTGCTTTTCTTTTTCCTTCCCACCAGTAGCCCCCAATGTTGTGGTTTCACACTGCATTAGTGTTAGGGAGGGAGAATTTGATCTTCAGCATTTTTTTTACAGTGAAAGGAGAGGGCTGGTAATACAAATACCAACATATTGTAACTTCCCAAGATTGGATTTGAAATCCGCCTGCAGAAGCCCTACCAAAAATGGTATTTGGGAATGAATATACAAAGAACTTTATTTGTGTCTGGCTGGCTGGGCTGTATAATGCAACAGTCAACAGTTTGTAATTGATTCAGTGCTTTCTGTTGCACAGCACTGATTCATGACTTATGGTATGTGTGAATGAAAGCTGTGCTATTAATTTCCTACCTTGGTTTTGGTCAATGTAACAACACAAAAGCCAGCTTAAATAAAAGGATGCATAGCTTCAGATAGCGGAAATTGGTTTTTGTTGAGCCTTACTACTGTGTACCCAATTTCTCTATTATCTCATTGGTGAGGTATATGAGTTTTATATACTAACCTAACCCATTTGAGAATGAAACGTGAAATAACAGTCCCTTGTCATATCTCCTTCATGAAACTGAAGATTACTATTAAGTTGATAAGTGGAGACTGGCACTTGCTTTGGGTAGGCAATTGGCATTCTCTAGCAACCAAAGACACTGGGAGGAGAAGCAGTTTTACTACTCCTACAGATCTATTTTAAAACAAAAAGGATTTTCTTATACCACATCATTCATGATCTCTTTCCTCAGCCTGTTGAATTTGTAATGTGTCATTTTTATTCAAGAATTTCACTGTGATTTAGTGTTAGTCAATAGAAGTCAGATGAAACCTTTCCTTCAGAAGTTATGGATTTCAAATACTGGAGTCGCTTGTTCTAATCTATAGATATTCACAATTGCTGTAAATTTTCTTTACAGCCACCAGTAATATTTTTTATCCTTTCTCAGGCTGGATGAAAGTTTCACTGTCAAGGTTGCTGATTTTGGTCTTGCCAGAGACATGTATGATAAAGAATACTATAGTGTTCACAACAAAACTGGTGCAAAACTGCCAGTGAAGTGGATGGCTCTAGAAAGTCTACAAACTCAGAAGTTCACCACCAAGTCAGATGTGGTAATGTACTCATCATCCTAACTCTCTTTTTTGCTTTTATACCCAAATTTTCAGTAGTTTTATGGCCACTTAATTTTTTCAAAGAGGGAAGCTTCAGCACCATTAATTTCAGTTTTCTTCATAAGTAAAAATGGGTTTGATTATCCAACAAGTATTTATAATATGTTTTCATTCATTCTTTGATTTATTCAAAAACGTTTGTTCAACAGGGCACCTTGGGAAGCCCAAAGCTCAATGAGGCATGAGCCTGTTCTCAAGGAACTTTGGCTCAGCAGGGAATAGTGTGTCCACTGGTATACCTGTCACACAAAATAGACTGGAGTTAGCCTGGCCTCAGTAGACCAAGGGCAACAGAATTCCACCTCAAGAATTGTCTTGAAACTCAAACTTTTGTGTTTCCATCATTCCGAATACATACACATTGGATATCTCCCTCTGCCTCTGTCCCTCTGTCTCTCATCTTCCCACCCTCCCTCCCATAAGTCCACCAGCTACCCTCCTATGGTACCCATTTATTGCCTAAGTCAAATCCTATAATTTCTTGGAGGCTCCCTTTTTGGTGATTTTTGCCTCTAAAGACACCTACCAGTTTGGAAGACCTAAGCACAGATAATAATCAGTCTCTAAGAACCTTGAATAACTCATCCCAAAGCATCTGCAAGATTAGTTACATTACAAGGTTGTTATAAGGATTAAATAAGATAAACTAAAAAAAGAAGGGAGGGAGGGAAAGAAAAGAAAGGAAGAGGGCTTGTTGCCTGTATTCAGCTCATTATATAACATTCAATCTCTCCCACCACCCTAACTTGGGAGTTCGGTCTCCTAGATTTCCCATGTCACCAATATGCAGCAGCAGCCGTCATCTCTCCTTGTTCAGAGCTTATATGGTTTCCACATTGATTGACTTCTTCTAATTGTCTGAACATAGTGTTTACAAATGAAGTCTCCTGGAGCCCAACTCCAGTGGTGTTCCATTGATTTCAGCTTCACCCACTTTCAACATTCAACAGTCTCCACAGCACAGACTGTTTCAACCTTGCCTCATCCTTCATCTAGTCCACACATCAAGCACAGTGGCCAATTATATTTGTGTTCAATAAAAGACATCTTTTCTCTTACCCCTGTGCCTACTGCCTCCATCTGAAATACCCTTTCTTCTATCACATTACATGTACCCATAAAATATATTCTCTCTGTTCAAGATCCACTTCACTTTTTGTCACTTTCTTCTTGAGGCTTTTCTCAGTAACCCACTATTATTTATTTGATTTTTTAATATTGTGCAGTGTTAGTTATTGTATGTTACTGTTCTGTGAGACAGTTAATTGCATAATACTTTTAACCATGCTCAATCAGTGTTGGGGCCTATCCAGTAACTTGTACACTAACCAACTAATACACAATCGAGGGTCAGTAAAAACTTTAAATTGATTTAAATTTTAGTGCAAATTCTGAAACTTGAAGATTAATAAAATGAAGTCATAAGTTCATAATATTTTCAGACTTTTAAAACTTTGATTTTGAAAGACTGCAAAAGATGACAAAGTTTCTACCTGGAATGAGTTTGTTTTCTTTATTTGGATCAAGGCAGTCAGTGTGGCCTTAAAGGGCCCTTGCACTTGAGCAAAAGGGAAGAGCCATTAATGAAGATTTGTATCAGCAACTACAGTATCTACCCAGTTTCTTTCAGTCACAGCATTCGAAAGCATGCTTTGACTCTTCTCACTGAATATTGCAAGTTACATTTGCTTCTCACTATTATATTTTCCTTCTCAATTTTTCTGGTCTGTATTTTCCCTTCACTTCAAACTTCTTATTTCTCAGAGCCTTACTTCTTCCCCATATGCTTCTTAGTCTTTGAGTATCATGGAAGTGTTATTTACCAAGAACTGATTTCCTGAGTCCTGCCCTGAGGTGACCCACACATGCTGGCCAATTGTCATGTGACGTTGTTACCTTGGTACATGTCCAGGGGGAGATGACATGTATTACCTGATCTGTTCAGAGTGGGGTGCTTTAAATCAAAAACTTGCATATTTAGTGATATTTCATAGACCAGTCAAGACCCAAGAGTCAGTGTTTATCCCAATGTAAATTCAGATTTACTGGGAAATTTTTAACAAGTCACTTAACCTCTCCACATCCCCTGTGCTTTTCCTATAAAGTACTAATACAGCTGTTGTATATTTATCTTCTACTTTAACATTTTCAAATTACCGTTAAATTAGTTTTTAATAGTCTGTTACCTAACAGTTTTATTTCTTCTGATTTTTTTATCTGGATTTTTACTTATACCAACTAGACTTTCTCCTTTAATACTAACATTTAGATATGGTTATAGTTCTTAAAGAGTATTTGTGTTCATTTGCAAATCTAACAAATTTAAATTTTAAAAGGCTTCCTTTATCATTTTTTTGTACTAATAATCTAAAATTGTAATGTAATAACTGGACAGCCACATACAAACAAATAAAACTGGAGTGCTATATAAATTAAAGATTTGAACATAAGACCTGAAGCCATAAAACTCCTCAAAGAGAGCATAGGCATCAAGTGCCTCCACATTGGTATTGGCAAATGTTTTTTTCAGATTCCATACCAAAAGCAAAGGCAACCAAGGCAAAAATAGACAGATGGGACTATATCAAACTAAAAATCTTCTGTGCAGCGAAGGAAACCAACAAAATGAAAGGGGAACCAACTAAATGGGAGAAATATTTGTATATTATATATCTGATAAGGGGTCAATATCCAAAACAGATAAAGAACTCATACAATTCAATAGCACAAAAAATAAACCTGATGTTAGAAAGGGGTAGAAGATCTGAATAGACATTTTTCCAAGATGGCATGCAAATGAACAACAGGCATATGAAAAGACAATCGACATCATTCATCATTAGGAAAATGCAAATCAAAACTACAATAAGATATCATCACATGCCTGTTAGAATGGCTATTATCAAAAGACAAGAAATAACAAGTGTGAGCAAGGATGTGGAGAAAAGAGAACCCTTGTGCACTGCTGGTGGGAATGTAAATTCATACAGTCACTATGGAAAACAATATGGAGATTCCTCAAAAATCTGATCCAGCAGTTCCACTTCTGGATATTTATCTAGAGAATATAAAACAATGATTCATAAACTATATGCACCTCCATGTTCATTGAAGCATTATTTATAATAGCCAAGATATGGATAATTATCCATTGTGGAATATATATGCAATGGGATAATTTTTTGGTCATAATAAAGAAGGAAATCTTGTCATTTGCAACAATATGGATGAACTTTGAAAACACTATGCTAAGTGAAATAAGTTAGATAAGTCCTGTATCATCTTACTTCTGTCTGGAATCCAGAACAACAACAAAAATGGGTAATAGACTGCTGGATACCAGAGACTGCCACCTATGGTAGAAGACAGGATGGGAGAAGGGTATAAAACACTACCTACTCCTTACTTTAAAATAAGTCATGGGATGTAAGTACACCATGGGGACTATACTTAGTAATATACTATTGTATATTTGAAAGCTGCTTGGAGAGTAAATCATAAAAGTTTTCACCACAAGAAAAAAATTTTGTAGCTATGTATTGTGATGAATGTTAGTAAGACTTATTGTGATCATTTCACTCTACATATAAATATTGAATCATTATTTTATATATACCTGAAACTAACATGTTCTATGTCAATTATGTCTCAATAAAAGTTAATTAATTAAATTGCAGTGAAGCTACTGAAAAGAGAAGAATGTTAATACTTTGATCCTGTGAGAGAGAATAACATTCTACTGACTACTGATGAAATTTTAATCATCATATGGACTTCAGATATTCTTTTTTAAATTTATTTATTTATTTACACAAGCATTGGGTACAGTCAGAAGCGTGGGAGGGTGAGAGAATTTACCAGAACCAAAGCGGGGAACAGAACAGGCAGGCTGATGAAATACACTGCAGAGGGGAGCAGTGGGCGTGGCAGAAGAGGTCTGTCACGCCATGTGGGACCCTCGCCGGCGTCCGGGGATCGAACCTGTGCTGTGGAGGCTGCAGGCAGCTTCGCTGCCCAGCACTCAATTGCTGCGCCACCAGGGGAGGCCCTGGACTTCAGATATTCTTTTTTGAAAACTTAAATTTGTTAACCATATCCAATTCTGGTTTAAACATGTCATAAAATATATAGTCTACTAGACTATAAAAGTTTCTAAAGAACTTTTTGCTCATAACAGCAATAATGACTATACTAATCCGTGTTTGGTTGTCAAGACCTACTGATTACCTTTCATATTTGTGCCATCACACCTTGTTCACCTGGATTGTCCTATCTCTTTTTGGCTAGTGGTCCTTTGGCGTGCTTCTCTGGGAACTAATGACCAGAGGAGCACCACCTTATCCTGACGTCAACACCTTTGATATAACAGTTTACTTGTTGCAAGGCAGAAGGCTCTTACAACCCGAATACTGCCCAGATCCCTTGTAAGTAGGAATATCAACAGCGTCTTCATTCCTATTGTGTTCTTTGTTTTCACAAAAGCACTTGCTTTCAAAAGGGCCTCTCACGTCATTTCTTTCTTTCTATAATAGATACGAAGTGATGCTAAAATGCTGGCACCCTAAAGCTGAACTGCGCCCATCCTTCTCTGAACTGGTCTCCAGGATATCAGCAATATTCTCTACTTTCATCGGGGAGCACTATGTCCATGTGAATGCTACTTATGTGAATGTCAAATGTGTGGCTCCATATCCTTCTCTCTTATCACAAGATAACATTGATGGCGAGAGGGGCACATGATGGATGGATAAGCCACCAGCCCTCTTCTGAGAAACATCATAGCACTGTCCGAACAACACAGTCCACACTTTGTCCAATTTTTTTTTCACTTCCTGGCCATTGAAAGACCATGAGCTATTTTTTGCTTTTGTCAAAGTTGCACTATATTGGACTGTCTATTGTTATTTAAATTTACTGGATTCTAAGGAATTTCTCATCTGACAAAGGATCAGAGCCACAATTTCGGTTCCACAGACCCGTGTGACTAATGGCTACACCACAGTTGCAATGATGCTCCTGTCACATTCAGGCCAAAACCTGAATTCTGAGTTGAAATTTTTAAAAATCAAGATCCCTCCTGATTTCATATGGGGGGCTGAAGAAATCAATTTTGAGGGTTTTTGATCACAGAAACCTTAGAAGTTGTAATGTCCAGGAAAGATATGGCAGCCTCAGGGCCAGTCCACTCATTTAGAATGAAAGTGTTTGAAGAACTTTTATATGTTGTAGGTCACATTCCCTTTAAAATTTTGCATACACATTCCTTTTATTGAAGAAGCATCTATAGGCAGCAAGGTCAACGTTTCAGAACAACAGGACAATGAAATTAGTTTATAAATTAGCAGGAATATTTACATATTGTACATAGATGTCGTTAAGAAGGTTTTAATAAAATAGCTTAGTAACAATTAAATATTTACTTGTCATTTTAAAATCAACTGTTTTGAGAATGATACTGTTCTGATTAAAGAATGTGGATATTTCAATGTTCTATTATTTTTTTAAACGACGACTCTGAAATAAGACAAGTAATCTGCGGTGTTTTTAAAGGCAGCTCAGCATGTTTTTAAAACAGAATACATCTGATTTAAAGGTTCATAGCTTCCAATCACAGCTCATACATAGAGCAAAGAAAGGATCATTGAACTTCCCACCCCCACAAACAATTGGAGACAAAAAAATTGGGGGGGGGGACCAGTTTTGCATTAGACCTTGCTTTTTGTTAAGCTAACCATATTTTATGGAAAAAAATGGGCAACTGAGAGTTCTGAGCAGTTGACCTGGATGAACAGTTGCTGGGCAGGAATTTCGTGATGTTTTGTTCTGTGGGATTTTGTGCTTTCTACTGTATAGTGCATGTGGCACAGGATACTCTTAACTGGTTTTGTCAATGTAAACATTTAAAGTTTTATATTTTTATAAAAATGTTTATTTTTAATGATATAAGAGAACTTTTGTTAGACAACAAAAATACTGCACTGTGAACATTTCAGAAAAGATATGTCAGACTTGGATTAACTACGGCATGGTTTTAAGTGGTTGTAAATAGTGATAAGGAAATGTACTGATTGCCAATACACCCCACCCTCATTACATCACCAGGACCTGAATCCTTGGATTAACACAGCAGGGTGTGTTAAAGAGGGTGTGTTACAATGGAACCCTTACTAGATTTGAACTCCTGTTGCTAGAGAGTGATTAACCAAAAGCTCTTTGACAATGGTATGACTTACTGGAAAACACAAGGAATTGTACTGCAGAGATATTCCCGTTCAAATGTTCTGATTCAAATATTTCATATGAGTGAAGAGTAAAACTAATTCACAGAGGATTAGAAGCAGTGGATGACAAAACAAAAAATCAGTTCTGTAGAAACATCTCTACCAATGTCAAGATAATGAATGCATCAAGAACAGAAAGAGTATATGGAAACAACCATCAACAGTACTACACATCTGTATATATGTTTGAGAAAGCTACAATGTGAAAGTCATGTTTGCTATTTATAAACATGTTCTTAGGTTAATGTCTCTGAACAGATTGTGGGAGTGATTCTTCCAAGAATTAGATACTTGTCACTGCTTATACCTGCAGTTGAGCTGAATGGTACTTTGTATGTTAATAGTTGTTGTTCTGATAAATCATACAATTAAAATAAAGTGATGCATCATCTTGTATACTGAAAGTTGGTTATTACTAGCCATGCATGATTACTTCCTCCATTTACATAATAACAGAAGGAACCTAAGATTGATTTCACCTTGCTGCATTGAAATAATCCATATGTGAGAGCCTTAGTCAAGTTAATGCATGAGCAGCTAAAAAGATTTGCATCTCTGAATCTTAGGAATTCTCTCTTTCCAAAAGTGCTTTACAATGAGTTGCTGAATTACCTGCCTTTCTTTTTTTTTTTTTTTTTTTAAATAGAGGCATGCTTTATTTATTTATTTTACTTGTTTGTTTGTTTGTTTGTTTATACATGCACTGGGTACAGTCAGAAGTGCGGGAGGGTGAGAGAATTCACCAGAGCCAGAGCGGGGTGCAGAGCAGGCAGAAGGACCGAAGTACACTGCTGAGGGGAGCAGCGGGCGGCAGGAGAGGTCTGCGCGCCATGTGGGACCCTCCTCCGGTGGCCGGGGAGCAGCCGGGGATCGAACCGGCGCCGCAGAGGTCACGGGCAGCTTCGCAACCCAGCGCTCAACCGCTGCGCCACCGGGGAGGCCCTACCTGCCTTTCTTAGACAATCAATGGCTAGAGGACCTGGCTCCTACCTTAGCTTGGCACTCTTCTCCAACAAGGTATATCCTTGAACCAGCTGTAACTACCCAGTTGGCAGGCACAGATGTACCTAGCTGGGAGTTGCAGGGACCTTCTTGCCCCCTTAAAACTCCCCCCTTAAGAGTGCCCTTTCTGGATGGGGGGGGGGAATAATAACAATAAATTAAAAAAAAAATAACAGGCAACTATAAATCAGAGATATTCTGCAGGGGAGGGGGAAGGAGAGGGATCAAAACAGGAGGGACAAGCACAAGAGACTATGGCAATGGTGCACGGGTAAATTGATGGTAGGAATTCTTTTTTTTTTTTTTTTAAGATTTATTTATTCATGCATACAAGAACTGGGACACAGGCCAAAGCTGTGGAGTGTGAGAGGATTCACCAGAGACAGAGTGGGGAACAGAACAGGAAGATTGACCGAAGTACACTGCTGAGGGGAGCAGCAGGTGAGTCAAGAGAGGTCTGCTGCACCATGTGGGTAGCTCCCTGGCCGGCTGGGGATCGAACTCGTGCTGCGGTGGCTGCAGACAGCTTTATAGGTTGCGTCTTAACCCCTTGCGCCACCAGGGAGGCCCTGATGGTGGGAATTCTATGAGGACTACACCTGAGAGGAAAAAGCAAACATTGTACAAAAATGAACAATGATGTTATACACACACACACACACACACACACATGTATATAAATTATATTAAAAAAATAATGAAACTGCCCTTTCCTTCTACACAGATCCCTACCATTTGGGAGCCCCTAGTTACTAGAGAAGCTACTTCCTTCAGGTTATCTCCATGAATAATCTTGTAATGGTAAAGGAATTCCAAGCTGATATTTCAGTTATCTTAAGAATTGTGAGGCACTTTGGGATGATGTGATTAAAAAAGAGGGGGGTAAGTTCAACTGGTACCTACAAAATTCAGTAAAAGCTGATTTTTACAGAGAGAGAATTCAATCCTATACACAAAGTCCTTCCAAGGGATGCATTTCCATGAAAAGTGAGATCACACCCCATACCCCTGAAGTACAAGAACTGGCACTTAGTAGATGCTCAAATAATTGATGAACCAACACAGCATTTTTTAGCCTCAATCTTTTTTTTTAAATAAATTTTTTTTAAGATTTTTTTAAGTTTTTTTTTGTTTTTTTTTTGTTGTTTGTTTGTTTTTAATACAAGCACTGGGTACAGTCAGAAGCGCGGGAGGGTGAGAGAATTCACCAGAGCCAGAGCGGGGAGCAGAGCAGGCAGAAGGACCGAAGTACACTGCTGAGGGGAGCAGCGGGCGACAGGAGAGGTCTGCGCCCCATGTGGAACCCTCCTCCGGTGGCCGGGGAGCAGCCAGGGATCGAACCAGCGCTGCAGAGGCTGCGGGCAGCTTCGCAACCCAGTGCTCAACCGCTGCGCCACCGGGGAGGCCCGCCTCAATCATTTTAGACCACAACAGACACAGTTAGTGCCTGTGCAGCTCCAATGGTATTTGGTGAACACCAACCTGGGAAGTGGGAGTTCTTTCTAAGAAGGGGATAAAATAACCCCTTTGTAAGAAAATCCTTTGCAGAGTTTTGCTTGATGCTCTGAATTTTCAATTCCCACAGGATTTTTCACTTTACTATGTAGGAATTAGTTATAGTTTTGTTCACTGATATTTATACACTGCAGATTTTATCCTTAAAGAAATATGAGGGTGCCTCCCCAGTGGCGCAGCGGGTTGAGCGCCGCGCTGTGAAGCTGTCCACAGCCTCTGCAGCATGGGTTCCATCCCAGCTGGCCAGCGAGAATCCCACATGGCGCAGCAGACCTCTCCTGCCAAGCCCGCTGCTCCCCTCAGCAGTGTCTTTGGTCCGTCTGCCTGTTCTGCGCCCCGCTCTGTCTCTGCTGAATTCTCTCACCCTCCCACACCTCTAACTGTACCCCAGTTCTTGTATAAATAAATAAATCTTTTTTTAAGATTTATTTATTTATTTGTTTTGTTTGTTTATACAAGCACTGGGTACAGTCAGAAGCGCGGGAGAGTGAGAGAATTCACCAGAGCCAGAGCGGGGAGCAGAGCAGGCAGAAGGACCGAAGTACACTGCTGAGGGGAGCAGCGGGCGGCAGGAGAGGTCTGCGCGCCATGTGGGACCCTCCTCTGGTGGCCGGGGAGCAGCCGGGGATCGAACCGGCGCTGCAGAGGCTGCGGGCAGCTTTGCAACCCAGTGCTCAACCACTGTGCCACCGGGGAGGCCCCAATAAATAAACCTTTAAGAAAAAAGAAAAGAAATATGGGGAAGGGTATAAAGCTTATACAAAGATATTAATTTGAATGCTGACAATTCAAATATTTGAGTTACTCAATTTAATTTAGGAAACAAGTTAGCATTTTATAAAAGAAATTGATTGGTATTTAATTGAACAGTGCTTACTGAACATTTATGTAAGGCAGGCACCATGCTAGGTAATGAGGATATGAGGATAAACAGTCCATCTTACCCCAAGGAATGTAATGGGAGAAACAAAATTACACAACTAATGACTATGAGAACTATGCATTTCTTAAATATGTAATCTGTCTTGAAGAGAGATCACAGTTTAAACATAAAAAATATTACCTCTGGGGCAAATAGCTCAAGCTCTGATTTACCTAAGTTTCTTACTCTGTCAAATAGGCTAATCCTACTTATTCTACAAAGTTGTTTGGAGACTAAAAATCATGTGTAAAGACAGCTGGTATGCCATAATTACTCAGTAATTGCAATATTATTATTACTTCAGTCTTCAACAATGAAAGTTCAAGCAGTGGTTGTCTGTGGCTTATTGAAAGGGAAATTAAGCTTAATGGACTTTATACTTGTTTAAATCCTTATCCTTACCCTATTCTTCAATTCACATCTGCTATATACAATAGGAACAGAGCTGTGATTCCCTCATCCTGGCCGCTGAGATGGCAGTATGGGTGGGGGTGAGAGAAGGGTGAATGAGAGAATGCTGGCCAGCCAAAGAATACCTCCATCACTTCTTCAAACTATTTCTTTAAAAAAAAAAAAAAAAGATTTTATTTATTTATGCATACAAGAGCTGGGGCACAGGCCAAAGGTGTGGGGGTGAGAGGATTCACCAGAGACAGCGTGGGGAACAGAACAGGCAGATTGACTGAAATACACTGCTGAGGGGAGCAGGGGGCGAGTCAGGAGAGGTCTGCTACACCATGTGGGTAGCTCCTTGGCTGGGGATCGAACTTGTGCTGCAGTGGCTGCAGACAGCTTCATAGGTTGCGTCTTAACCCCTTGCACCACCAGGGAGGCCCAGAAACTATTTTTTTTATTCAATAACTAGTTTCCTTTTTTCTTGTTTAGTCTTGGTATCTAGAGTACACAACAGACATGGGAAAAAAAAAACTAATTACTGGAAAGTTGCAAGAATGCACCATGTTAGGAGTCACAATCCTCAAATGAATTGTTCTTTATTTTACTCAAATGAATGGCAAATTATTCTGGTTCACGAAAAAGTAGACTATGCACAGTACTGTTTAAGTTATATGGTGTGTGGACCTCCCTGGCACCGCACTATGAAGCAATCCTCAGCCTCTGCTGCATGAGTTTGATCCCCGCCCGGCCAGGGAGCTACCCACACGGTGCAACAGAGCTCTTCCATCTCGCCCACTCCTCCCCTCAGCAGTGTATTTCAGTCAGTCTGCCTATTCCGTTCCCCACTCTGTCTCTGGTGGATCCTCTCATTCCCGCATCTCTGGCCTGTACCCCAGCTCTTGTATGCATGAATAAATAAATCTTTAAAAAAAATAAGTTATATGGTGTATGTTTGAAAAATAAGGACTATTTCATTAATATTGTAATCCATCTGGGTGACTACACACAATGCTAAATAACAAAGATCCCCACTATTCAGTCTTGTGGCACTTTAGGCAATTTCAGGAGATAGGTATGCAGACATTAAGCCCCAAATGAATAAATGTGTATTGCTTTCATTTCATGAAATGTTTTTCCTTTTCATACTTGACATTTTTCTTCAGGATTATTTCAGTTCTCTATCAAAATTGAAAATAACTTCAGTCATAAACCAGTGAAACATTTCACTTGGTGAATTGAAGGTAATAAAACAGAGACTTGCCCAAACTGTCCTTTGTTATAAATTACACCAGAGATCTAGATTACGTCAGCCAAAGGTATTGATCATGAGGCTGAGAGGTTTATAACTGCTATTGACTTACTATGTGACCCTGGAGCAGAAATCTACGAAAATTGCAAAAGCATATCTATGGTAATGAAAAGCCCATCATTAATAGAACTTACTATCCTGTTGTGCAACTAGTACTGTATTGGCTTCAAGGAAAATATTTAATAAATGCTAGAAACAGAAGGAGCTTCTGTCTTCTCCCTTTTGTCCAGTGCATGCTTCTGAGCCATCCT